CCTTTGTTTGTATCATACTACCGTCCTGCCAGATAAGCCCTCCGCCAAGGCCTCAACATGTCGTCAACCTCCCCACGCTGCTGCCTGCTCGCCTGGCTACTTCCACTCGCGGCGAGTGCTGCCTGTTCGTGTCAACTCGTCGATGAGTGCTGCCTGCTTCCACTCGTGTCGGCTCGTGGTGAGTGCTGACTGTCCGCGTCAACTCGTCGATGAGTGCTGCCGATTGCTCGCCCAGGCTCCTCACTCGTGTCAGCTCGTCGATGAGTGCTGATCCACTCTTGTCAGCTTGTGGACGAGTGCTGATCCACTCTTGTCAGCTGCGATCAAGAACAAGGCCTTGCCAGCGCTGCAAACCACTGTCTGTTTTACTACTCTATACTTCTATAATTAATAAATTGATAAAGACTGAATAGAACCGTGTAGCGAGCCTTTGTGTCCGGCTAATGGCTGACTAGAGACTGTTATAAAGACTTGTCGAAATGATTCTCCGGCTGATGGATGACTAATAAATGCAGACTAGAGACTGTTATAAAGACTTGTCGAAATGATTCTCCGGCTGATGGATGACTAATAAATGCAAATAGAGAATACTGTAGACTGTTGATAAAGACTTGATAGCGACGATGTCTAGATGATGACTAATAAAGAGAATAATGCAGAGCTTAGAAAAGAGATCCTGGGACAATGACACATAGAAAAGAGATACTGAGCCGATGACAAAACAGGAGATACTGAGCCGATGACAAAACAGGAAATACGCGATAATGACAGTGATAATGCCAATCGAAGCAGAGCTGGCAGGCGCGCCACCCCTACCCATGTGGGACTCCCCCCCCCCCTCCCACTTGCTCTTAATCCCCACCCCTACCCATGTGGGACTCCCCCCCCTCCCACTTGCTCTTAATCCCCCACCCCTACCCATGTGGGACTCCCCCTACACACCCCCCTCCCACTTGCTACCCTTCGTCTAGGCAAGCGGCGCAAACCTTAAGCGCGAGTCCCATAGAAAGCAAGTGGGAATACCGGATTTTCCGGCATTCCGCCATGCTCTGATACTGTGTAAGTGTACAAGTGAAAAGTACAAGTTTCAAGCCCAAGTACAAGTTAAAAGCACTAGTTAGAAGCACTAGTCTAAAGTACAAGTTAAAAGCACAGAAAACAAGTTAAAAGTACACAAAACGAGTTAAAAGTACAAGTTTGAGACACAAAACAAAAACACAAGTTAAGAGCACAAGCTAAAAGCACAAGCTAAAAGCACAAAGTACAGGCACCAGTTAAAAGCACAAGTTAAAACCACAAAAAACAGGTTAAAACGTACCGAGTACAAGCGAGGAGTACCAGGTACAGGTTCAGAGTACCAGGTACCGGTTCAAAAGACAAGTCAAAAGTACAAGTTGAAAGTTCAAAGTACAAGTCAAATGTGCATGTAAAAAAACAGGTTAACCGCGAGGTAGAAGTAGAAATCAGAGGCTAGCAGTGGAAAGCACAATTTAGCAGCAGAAGTAGAAAACAAGAGTTAAGAGTCGGAACAGAAAGTACAGGTTAAAAGTGGTTGGAAAGGGCGCTGCGGAAAAGCTGAAAAAAAGCCCAGAGAGAAATCTGCAACAGTTTTTAAAAAAAAAAAAAAGAAGAGCAGAAAGAGTGCAAAGAAGAAAGGAGATGCGCGACAGACGAGGATGATAAGAGGGTGGTGTTGCTCATCTGTAAAATAATACCTGATAACTGCTGAACCTGAAGTGGTTTTTTCTCCCCTCACCTCAACAGCCTAGACCTTTCCATCAATTCTATCCTTGTTCTCCCCCACTCACTCGCGACCCTCCTCCTTTCTTTCTACCGGTCTCTACCCTCTACTGCTCTTGTCTGATTTTTGCCGTTATTTTCCTATATTTGTTTCACTTGTTCCTCTCGAACTCTCCCTTCGACTGTCGCTTATCGCTATTTCTTCCTGCTTATCGCTTGCTACTGCTAACGCTCTACTTGTCTTCTTCCTCCTCCCTTCCCAGCCTTTCGTTCGACCTGCCTTATCAATATGTTGTCATCATGCTCCTCATCTTTCTCCTCATCTATATTTACCGATATTTTGAATGAACAAAATCGCTCTGCTCATGGGCCTGGGACCGCTCCAACTCCCTTCGCTGTTGGTGAGCCGCTTAAACCCCTCACTTCACTCTCTTGGTGGGCGCCTCTCCTCTGCTCCCTGCGCTCTCCCACTATTTAATACTTTCCTTTCCTTTCGTATATTCTCCATCTAGATCTTCTCAGAACTAAAGTAGTCCCCGAATTTTGTGAAATTTGGTCTGTTATTGCTTTTACCTAGTGCTCCACAAATCTTTACCTATCCGCCACTGTTAAAGTATTTCTCTAGACCCAGCCTCTGTCACGTGAGTCCTGATTGTGCTCAGCTCGCTTTTCTTTTTTTTTTACATCTCACTTTCTTTGCTACTTCCATCATCGCGCTTTCCTTCTACTTTATTGTCTTCTGCCTTCACACTTCCGTCATCGACCTTGACTCTCTCGCACACTCTCCACACCTTATCATTTCCTTGGCCCTTGCTTTCGCTTTTGCTATTGCTTTCACCCTCCCCTCTCCACCATTCAGAGTGCAGCCTCACACGACTGATGGCCCTCCCCGCCTTTGTCTTAGTTCCGCTATTGAGCTTACCGTGCCCTGCCCGCACCTCTCCTTGTCCTCGCCTCTACCCCTACGCTTCTTCATCTTTGAAGCGGCACTGCTTCTCTCACTTCTTGGTCCCTCGCTCGCACGCTTCTTCAAAGTCCTATGAACAACCCCGACATGACCCACTCTTGCGCTTCCTCAACCTCACCCAAGGCCGACACTGCCTCGTCTCACTCTCTCTGACCGCTCTCTTTGTTCTTGTCCTTCCACCACCCCGTCACGATCCGCCCTTAAGCTTCCTCAACCTCGACGCCGAACCCGTCTGCTCACGCCACCACTCCATTGTCCCTCGCTCGCTCGTATCGCTCTCACCCTCCTCTATTCCACCGTCTAGAGTGCAACCTCACAGGATTGAACACAGTCCCTCCTCGCATTTGTCTTTGTCCTCCTCTCGAGTAGCCACACACTGCTCGCACCTCTCCTTATACTCGCCTCTGCACTACGCTTCTTCATCCTCGACGCGCCGACACTGCTTCTCTCACTCCTTGGTCCCTCGCTCGCACGCTTCTCCATTGTGCCTCTCAATAACCCCGGCACGACCCGCCCTTGCGCTTCCCAAATCGACGCCTTGCTCTCTCTCTCCACTCTTCCTTGACCTTGCCTCTCCTCCTCACGCTACCGCTCTTTGTCCTTCGCTCACTTTTTTCGTTGTTGTCGTTCAACAACGCCGACACAACCCGCATTTGCGCTTCCTCAACTTCCTCGATGCAGACCCTGTCTCTTCTCACGCTATCGTTCCCTTGTCCCTTGCTTGCTCCTCTCGCTCTCGCTCTCACAAACCCTGCCCCACCGTGGGGAGTGTAACCTCACAGTACTGAACACAGTCATTCGCCTTTATCTTGTCCAGCTCTTGCACTTACCCAACACTCGCCTCCACCCCTACGTTTCACGGCTACGCCTTCGCTTCCACCCCCGCCTCGACCTTGACGTCCTTACGCTCCCTCGACACTGACGCCCTCCCTGCCTCTCATCACTCGCCCCCTTCCTTACCTCTCACGCTTCCGTTTTCCTACGTCTACGCTGCTGTTGTTGTTGCAAGCTCACCTCACTGACTGTGCCCGTCTACAAACTCCCGGCTGAGTCAATCTGAACGCGCTCAACTACATTCACCTGCATTCTCCCGCCTTTTTTGCCCCTCGTTCTTACGCTTCCTCAACCTGGCTCATCGCTCTTACGCCAGACCCCACCTTTACCGGAGAGTATTTTTTGTTTTGTTGCTCCTTTACTTTCTTTTCTTTATGGGGCTCGTCTCCTGCTCTTGACCTTACCTAACGCTAACGCTATCTCTCATTACTCTTGCCTACACTGCCCCTCAACGCCTCAAGCTGCTGATCAGCATCATCACCACAGTCGCCCATATGCATCCTCCAGCACTGCAGCTGCGTGGAGATTAGTCTGTTTTTGATTTCACTGTCCCTGTCCCCCAGATACAAGTCCTTTTCACTCCCTTGTCAAATCTTGAATAGTTAATGAATTTATCTATAATAATATACGCCCCAGTAGCGTGAGCGCGCTAGCCTTGCTATTCGATTTGCCTTTATAGAAACCCGCCTTCCCTTGAAACCTCCACAGCCTACACCTGTGCTATCTACTCACTCCTCTCCTGAATTGTTCAACGCTTGTATGCTCCAATTACTCATTCATTCATATCTGCTGAACGCCTACGCTCTTGTAATACCACTCATTTTCTTCATCGTTCCTGCTCGCTTGATGTGCTCTTAGCTCTCGTCACTGCATTTGGCTACATTTCTTTCAACGCACTTCACACTTTGTCCAATGACCAGACGCTCACACTACTTTTCCTTGTCTCAACCCTTACGCTTCCTTCCCTTTTCACTACAACGTTCCTTGCAGATTCCCATACCAGTCCACTCAAACGCTCGTCTTTTTCAACAGTCTGTGTCCTCGTGTGACGCGCTTTCTGACAACCTCTCCAGCTCAAGCGCGCACACTCTTTCAAACCCAAGAGTATTCCGAACTCGTCGAACGCGTAGAGCACGCTTGTCAACCGAGCCGCCTCAACACCTAACCGCGCTGCTTTGTTTTCTTGTGTTTCTGTCCCCTTTGTCTTCTTCTTCGGCTGTTGTTTGATGTGTGTCGCTCTTCTGTTTCCGTGTTTCTCTTCCTCGTTTACGTTTCCTCGACGTTGACACTGACGCTACCCACCTGCACCACCCTCCCAAAGCTCGCGAGTGATCTCTTTAGCTCCTTACTGCGCTTACTGCACACTTGTTGGCAATGCCCATTGAGCACGTTACCCTAAAGCTACACTTGTTTGTCGCGCTTTTGTTTTCGTTTCTTGTCTTCTGTACTTCAGCTTACCCAACGCTGGCTCTGCTCTGCTCTGTTGCGTGCTGTTAGTCGCGCCTTTGCCATAGTCGTCTGGTTTGTACCCTTACGCTTACCCTGCGCACTTACGCTTCCTCTCCTCACTCTTGATCCTATTCCCATGCTTCCAGGTCCGTCCAACTCACGCTTCCTAGCTCTTGTCTGGTCAAATCGCAACTTAACTTCTCGCTTCTTGTCGTTCCCACCTGCTGAGTGCCAACCTCCCTCCCGAGCCAGTGTTCGTAAGTGCCTCGAGCTGATCGAAGTTTCCGTTTCTTTCTTTCGTCCTTCACCCTTACGCTTCGTCGATGTTGACGCTGATACTGTCTCTTCATACCCTCGCGTTTACGCTTCGGTCTTTTCTCCTCCCATGCGTCGGTTCCCATACGTCTACGCCTTCTATTCCAGGATCAAACGAAATCGCAAACTCCCGGCTGAGTCCCACAGAGCGCGCCAAGTTGAAGGTCACTTGCCCACGTTGCCCACGCCCTTAAGGAGCGTTAAACTACTTTCTTCTGCTATTCTTTGGTCGTCGAGCTTTCGAATTTATTTCTTGTCCTCCGCCCTTGCGCTTACCCGACGCTTACAATGCTCGCCTGCCTACACTCATCCAACACCTACCCGACGCTACCTCTCCCTACACTCGCCTTTATGCCTACGCTTCCAAACCCGCCTTACTGACGCTTCTTCACCCCTCCTTCGACCGTTCACCCTATCGGCATTTAGCTGCGCACTTCTCAGCAACACCCCTGGTAGACGCGTCAAGCTGCGCCAAACTCTCCGAGAGCGCTGATTAGCACTTGTCAAAGCCGAGATCAGAGCGTCCACAACAATCTGCTGGTCGCTTGCTTCTACTCCTTTGACGCGCCATGTGTCTGCTGCTACTTTCGATGAACAATAACTCCTCTATCAACTGCTCTTCCTACTAGATCTCGAGAACGTAGTGAGTCCCAGTTCTCATGGGATTGTTGGAGCAGTGTTTACTATAAGGTATAATAATAATAATGATGATAATATATTTGATACAAAACAATGATTATACAAAAATCAAGAACGCCCCATAATACAATGCCGACAGCAGATGCTTGAGACAGGCCGACAGAAAGACAGACACACAGACAGAAAAAACAGATAAACGAGTGAGCGCGCGGAAATCAAAAGGATCAGACGGGTCGACAAGAGCTAGAGACGACACTCGTTGCGATCGTCCATGTGATGTTATCCTCCAAACCCATCCCCGTGATCAATCACTACTTGTAACTTCCGCAGAATCGAATTAACTAAAGGGGCAGCGTCTGTGGTCTCCTTCGCTACCAGACAAGCATCGTCGTCGTTTCACTGGGCGCAGGTCTGCATCTGCATCCGTGTCGGCGACGCGCTTGGCTGGATTAACCTGACTGCTCACAGACAAAGGAGATCCGCCAGCGCCTAATTGTTCGTTATTTTCAACTGGGGTCTGTTGATGTTCCGGGTCATAAGACCGAGGCGCGTGCTCTGGGTGCACAATGTAGAAAACAGCTCTCATCTCATCGTACAGCATCTGGAACATTTTGCGCTGACTTGGCGTTAAAATTTTGAACCAGACTATCACTCTGCACACCCGGAACATATTGTAATGATCGTTGGGGGATAAGGAGCGCTCCAATGCATCCGAAAACACAGTGAAGCCGCCGTGGGCATGGGTTCTTCGGTATCCATGTTCCGGAACGCTCTCAGCATATTCAGGGCAGACGAGCTCATCCTCAAAGTATGACTTGTTCAATGAAGGGGTGACGATAACACTGAGCTTGTAGCCGTTGCCGACTTGATCGACTCTAGCAAGGCTGCCCAAGAAACGCTCGCAATCTTCGCGCATGAGCGTGTTTCCAAGCAGAGATAATTGATGGTGTAGGAGAGCGGCGTCGACCCATTCTTGTCTGATCTGTCTGTGGTCGAGGTCGATCGTGAGATAGATGGAGTACCAGCGACTGAGATGATTGACACGCTCGTAGTCGCGCATCAAGGTCGTCAAAGCAGAGCCAATTGGCGAAGGCTGAGTCGACCATCTGCCACTGCAGTGAAGGGGACGGATTCGAACGAAGGGCAAGAACCGTTGGTATTTGTTGACAGAGACGAGAAGGTGACCGTGGACATGTTTTCATGAGTTAAGCGCCAGCCCTCTTTACTCAAAAGCCGCTCGGGATAGGGCGTGTTGGCCATGCGTTCCAAGGCCTGTCGGGTGAGAGATCTTTGACGGTTCAAAAAATCGTTCAAGACCAGTGGGAGGTGGAGTTCAAAAGACTCCAACGTGCTGTGTGAGCCGGGAGGGCGGAATCCGCCGAACGAACGAACGGATCAAGGGGTTCGAGTGGTCTATGACTTCGCGTCCTTGAACAGGTTCGTACGCTGGTGGACTTTCCGTGGGCGGCACAGGATCGAGAAAAATGGAAGAGAAAAGAAGACCAAAAACAGCTTGTTCACTATGAAGATCAAAAGGAGCCATGGTCATTGCGAGAGCCGAAGGTTGGGACGAGATGCTGATGAAAGGGAAAGATATTATGAAGCGGGGAGAGAGTAGGAAAGGAAAGAAGGGCGCGGGACGTACATTTTATAACCAGGCATAGCGAGCAAACAAGGCAGGAGGCCGCACATGGTAGCTAAAAATAAAGAGCAAAGAGTGGCTTCGTCAGGTACGGAAGGAAGGCCGTGATTGCTGTGCAAGCCGAAGCCTTGTTGACCGGAAACTAGCAAAATAGTCATTCTCCTTGCCGCCGGCCTCTCCTTTCCAGTCTCTTGTATTCGTAAAGCCGGCAACAATATATCCATACAGGCAGATTCGTTGTTTGAATTAAATCATGCACGATATATTATTGCTGCGACGGTACCTCGCGCTGTTCAAGCTGTTCTTGAACAAGAGAGAGTTGCTGGGAAGTGAGAGCATGGTCTCAGATAATTAGGGTTTGCCTTGTAGCAATCCCAGTCCCACCACTTCTTCAACTTTTGGCGACTTTAAGCACTGCTTTGCGCACTTCTGGAGACTTAGACCGGTACTTATGAATAATAATAACTTAAAATGAATCTTGATATTAGAAACCATTAACTTGCTAATGTCGCATCTTGAGCTGAGCGCTGAGGACACCACTAGTGTGAATTATTTTATGGCGCTCCAGATCACTGACAAACCTTGTGACATGCAGCTCTTCTCAGAATGTCATTGAGTATTGATGGATTTTTATAAGAGCAAAGGCTGGCGTCGATTAAATGCTGCGGTATTATACAGCGATCTACAAAGACGGCTACAGGAGATATAGATAAGGTGAAGGAAGCCACCAGCAATCAAATGGCATGAAGAGATGATCTCCACTGACTCCCGATATATTTAAAATTCGAATAAAGAGACAAAACGAATAGCAAAACCAAGAATCTAGAGACTGGAAGAAGCGATCAATCGATTGAGAACGACAGGAGCTATTACACACGCGAGAAACAAGCGGCAGAGCCTGAGAAATTATGACTCGTCTCCAGATCTGCGAGAGTCGGTATCTCTTTTTTCGGTTTTCGGCGGGATAAAAGATAAGGCTGATCCACAGAGAAGGATGGAGGGTATTCCGAGTTGGTACTTTGCAGAGGCCAAGGATTAAACATTCAGTGACGCCCGTACAGCAGGGAGAAGGGTGCAGACAGACAGTAGCGTTACTTCTTGAACAGATACCAGCATCTAGTTCGATGAGATGACGTTAGCAAGGGTATCTTGTACAATGGCATATGACAGGGATACAGTCGAGGTGGACTACTTCTCTCTTGACGTTGGCTGCTATACAGCGAAGCCTTGACAACCAGCGACTGAAAATCTTTTCCAGAAAGCACGACCATAGGCAGTCTGAAATAAAAACCCGGACTCGATCCTGCGATCCATCCGTTGCCCAGCTTTGATGTGATCTTTCCGTTGTGCTCCGCTGTCGTAGTGTTCGTCGCGATCGCGGGGCGGATGACGTCCGTTGTCTCCTCCCTCGGCCATCGAGTTACTTTGTGATAAAGAGAGCGAGTGAGGAGGTGTGCGTTGGATTCGGTCGGCTATCGTGCTTGAAGCTCGCAGCAGCACGTTGTGATGCTCCAGAGATCGTGTTTTCTTCTTGCCGCCAGCCATTGTTTGGGTAGGGAAACGGGGAAGGTGGCTGCTGAGGTGACAAGTAGTGAGCTGTGAAGAGGAATGGGGATGAATGGAATGAGCGAAGCCTTATGTGTTGACCATCTGTGCCTTGTTCGAACAAGGGCGGCCTTGTATCTGAACTGAGTTTTGTAAAGACGGTTGGAGATTGAACAAAGAGATATCTACACGAACCCCTGAAATAATGCAAGCGAGCTTTCGATGACCATCTCTGCTTTTCCAGTTGCGGCTCCAAACGTTCAGGAGAGCTGATACCCAACGAGGGAGAACAGAACGAGCGCTACTACTACCACTACTACACTACTACAACACTGTGTCGTAGCGGTAATCAATCACGTGACTATGATTTAACAGGTGACAAAAGCCTTGTTGACCTCGGAACGCGTCTTTACGAGCAACAAGGTCGCCCGCCTTTGTTTGAACAAGGCGGCAATGGAAAATATAAAGTCCGCTCTCCCGCCGCTCTCTCTCTTCTCCTCTTCTTCCTCACCTCTCACTACTTCCAGAACTTCAGCAACACCCACCCTTCCCGTGCTTTTCAACAATGGTTTTCGGCCAGAGGGGAGCACGCCCCTCCTGTGCATCGCATACTGCTGCTGCGTTCTACATGCACCGTCGCTGCCGACATCTCCCTACATACGCGCAACCGCGGCTCGAATCTGCTTTTGCGGGCTATCCGACGACCGAGAGAGGCTACGGACGCTCTCAGCCCAGCACTTGCTTCGCCGCCCACGACGACGACGACTTGATCCCCGAAGTGATACAATCCCCGGTCTTTAACGTGGATCTCTCTCGCATCCGCCTCAACGACGCCCTGATATTTCACGGGATCGACTTTGTCTACGACAACTTCGCCTCTCGTATCGACAAAAGGCAACATAAGGACCAGCTAGGCACCGGATCATCCTACGGATTTCTGTTTTTAACTGCCTATGATCGTGCTTTGTTTATAAAGATTTTCAATCGCTGGTCAAGGCTTCGCTACAATAGCGGCCAACGTATGTATATGCCCTTGTTAGTTTTACTTGCAACTCTCCGACTGACCCTTGTTGCACTTTCTAGTCCACCCTTTCTGCAGCATATATATCCACCCTGGAACGAACCAGAAGAGTCCTATACTTCGACTACTGTTCAGGCTAATACCCCAACATCCGATGAGAGAAGTGGTCTACCCCTCTTCGTTTCTGTCTTATACCCATTGTACAGGAACCCTTGCTGAAGTCATCTCATCGCACCACATGTTGGTATCTGCCTCAAGAAGTAACCCACCTGTCTGTCTGCACCACCATCTTCCCTGCTGTACGGTCGCCTATGGATGTTAAAACCAATGGCCTCTGCAATGTACTGCTCGGAATACCCTCTCTTTTTTTCTGTGAAATAGGGTTATCTTTGATCCCGCCAAATACCAAAAAAAAAGAAACAATCACCTAATCGCGCAGAGCTGGAGGCGAATCACTCACTGGGCTCTGTCGCTTGATTCTCCCGCGCGTATATCACGCTTTTCAAATCCTCGTCGGACCCCTTTCCAAGTCTTTTCAGTTTCGTTTTTGCTTTTCATCAATATTATTACCAACGGGTTGTCACTAGGGATAATCTCTGAACCGCATTTGATTGCTAGTGTCTACCTTTTTTTTTTTTTTTCAAAAATCGCTCCTCTCCTGTAGAAACTTGTAGATCCCTTGACGCACCAGCGTTTCCTCGGTACTTCCCTATCATCCATCATCCATTCATTATCAATACTCACGAATCTCGGCGTTGTCGATTACACTTCCGCTGGAGGCTCATGGCGCGCATGCGGCTCAGGTCTGGAGATTGATTGTCGCTAGGAAATCCCAATCTGATTCTTCTCTGCTGACGCTGTCATTTTCTCATGGCTACTTACTTAAAACCGTGCAAGATTCCTGCTGGCTAGTCGCTGCTTGAGATGAACCTCTTTCTGTACTTCACGGACTAGAATTGAAACCGCAGATCCTAGTCTCTTCCCATTCGCGCAATGACTTCCTTCTCAAACTCCACCTTCAACGCGAGTCTGTATTCAGACTTCCGACCGAGCTATCCACTAAAGCTCCTCTAATCTAACATTACCGACTACCACAAAGGTCCCAGGAACCCTTTATCCGATCAAGGTTGCGGTTCAGGCACAGCCAGCATTCGGTTTAAAGGTCTCTTTGCACACGTTGTTGGCAGTGATCGAGTCCCAAGAGATAGTAGCCGAGAGTAAGCTCTCAGAGCTAAGAGAACAATGGTTTACATCATGTCTTGGGTTGCAGGGAGCTATCTATTTATCATCTTCTAAAAACTCGAGCTGATCTGTAGTGGTCGGTCGTGGGAGTAGTGGGAAGAGTTCATATGCGTTAGTGCAGTAGTATTACAGATATCTATTTACAAACACGGCTCCCAAAGGTAGAGAGAGCCACAAGCGATCGGATGACATAGGAGATGATTCCTGGTGACTCCCGATCTATGCAGAGTGCCTCTGGCCTTATCCTTCAGATTGCCTGGAAGCCGACAACTCGCGATCACCTCCCACCTTACTCTCTTTCAAAGCGTGCTCTTCGTCGTGAGTGGTCTTCTCTTTGTGGCGACCGATCCTGAGCCACCATACAAAATGGGTGAGAACTATTCCGGCTTCCATTAATGGATCGACGAGGTAAATGACCATACCCACGTAGTCACGGTACCCTGTCGAGCCGTCGGCTTTATCCTGTGGAAACCAGAGAGAAGCAAATGATAGAAGAGCACCAGTCGCGTCAATGCTGAGGAATATGAGAGAGATGCCGATGGCTTGTCCATGGTGTTTCGCAAGCTCAAAATATGGAGGCACAAGACCTCCAGCAAGACAGACAGCAGCAAATATTCCAAGCATCAAAATCGGCCAGTAATACGGCGAAGGATCTGATTTGTAGTGCGGCGAGTTACGAGTCGGAATCGCTGCAGCGACCTGAAGCCCAGCTCCTATGATCGACGAAAGGAAGAGGAAAGCAATAGCTTTTCTGGCAGAGTAGCCATTTCCATAGTAAAGGCATTGAGCCCAGGTAATCAGACAAAGGGCAGTGAAGATCTGCGGCTGCACTTGTAGAGCAATATCAGAAGACTGTGCTATAAAATACATGCCATAGAATACGCCAGCAGCCGACCACAGAATCATCATCGATACCGGGAAGCCATCGGTGGATTTGCGTCGATAGTTTTTCCAGATCTGGGGAATAAGCTGAATGCACCAAAAGACTGTCCCGATTGTTGCGAGTATTGTTGCTGTCTGGTAGATAGAGTTAGCTGCTATACAGCATAGAGCAGGGAAGTAAACAGCGATCATACCTTATTATTTTGAGTAGCCATTAAATCAGCTGTATTTGATAATCGAATATCGTAACAGTCTACATTGAAGATCTATCATAGTTATACAGGAAGAAAACAGAACAGAAATCAGGATAGGAATATGAAGGAGGCCGCTGTTTAAGAGTTCAGCGCAGGAGACCATCAGGCCGAGCCTGGGCCGCACAGTGACATCGCAGTGACATCGCAGTGACATTCTCTCTTCATATATTAGCGATCCCCCGCTAAACTAGCGAGTATGTCGGATCTTTGACAATCGATTGCCCTTGATACCCTCAGACATGATATATATTGTAAGAGCACGCATTTGAGAAGATTTGAATGGACAGTCAGGGTTGAGCCGTCTGCGCGAATGCTGGTCTACCCATCTCTACGATGCTGGAAACCATAAATTCGAGACTAATGAAGAACGCGCAGATTTATTTTTTAGGGATACGCCTTACACAACAAACAGTACAAATCTCAAGGCAGTAACAAATAACAAACTAAGACTTCCCAGAGTAGGATTAGACCTCGGTATGCGCAATAGAACCCTTCTCATAATTTGAGCCAATGACGTCACGAGCGCTTGGCAAGACCTCGTTAAACATTCCCAAATCGTGCCAGATTTTGTCCATGCGTTCGAGATCCTTTCTTCCCTCTCCAGAATCATCGTGAAACACCTCATCCATTTCTTCTAGAGTGCGCCCTTTGGTCTCGGGTACAATGAAGTAAACGTATGTGGCTCCAGAGACACAGAAGAGTCCAAAGAAAATGTAAGTTCCGTATTTCATCGTTGCCAGCATATCGGAAGTAGCCATTGCCACGGCAAAGTTGTTCAGCCAGTTGGAAGACGCGCCGATCGAGATTCCCTTTGCACGGACTCCCAACGGAAACACTTCTGCGACGACGATCCAAGCTGCGGGACCCCAGGAGTAGCCAAAATGAACGACAAAGAGCCACACAAAGACCACTGCAACCCAGCCTGCAGCCTTATGTTGATCCCAGACACCGTCGAAGGAAGCTGAGATGCCAGCGATAACAAAGTGGCAGATCGCCATACCAATAGCGCCGCAGACGAGAACAGGCTTGCGACCGAGATTGTCGATATAGATGACTGCGGGGATTGTGGCGAGGAACATGACAACTCCAACAACTCCCGAAGCCAGAAGCGAGACTGAGTTACCGGTCAGGCCGAGATCCTGGAAGATGAACGGGGCGTAGTAGAGAACGGCGTTGATTCCAGTCCACTGCTGGAAAAGCATGATAAGGACCGCCACAAGCGTTCGCTTGAGAAGGGTTGGGCTCGTGAGCAAGCGGGCATAGGCGTGGAATCCAAGCATAAAGTCGGATTTGAAAGAGTGATCCTGATACTGAGGAAACAATCGCTGCGAGGTCTCTGTGTCGAAAACACGCTGTGCTTTAATCTCGAGAAACTCAAGAACAACAAGCTCGGTTTCAGCGTCTGCTCGGCGAATATGAGCCACAGTCTGCAAGCACTCTTCCTCGCGACCGACAGACATCAGCCAACGAGGAGACTGCGGCATGAAATTCATACCAACGCCAAGAATCAACGCCGGTGCGATTTGAATGCAGATAGGTACGAGCCATGCAGCGTTGGACTGGCCGTCGCCCGTTCCGCCGATGAAGTTTGTACCATAGCCGATCCAATATGCAATCATAATTCCGGCAGTGATAGAGAGCTGCTGCAAGGCCACAAGAGCACCACGGATCTCAGCTGGAGCAAGTTCAGCGTTGTAGAGAGGAACGATCATTGAAAGAGAACCGACACCCAAGCCGGTGATGAAACGTCCGCCCAAAATATAAGATGGTGCCTTTGCGCAAGCCTGCACGATGACACCGATCACAAAGACAAACACGGCGACATCAACGCAGAGCTTTCTGCCGAGTTTGTCGGCAATGTATCCGTTCGCCATAGCTCCGACCCAGGCACCGAGTTCCAGAATGGCAGTAAGTAGACCGCGGGCGGTTGGGTTGCTGATTGATTCAGGGTGAACCGTCTTCGCAAAGGATGACATGTTGAGAATCTGGCCAAACATTCCCTGGTTGTAGCCGTAGACAAGTCCGCCGAGCGAAGCAAAGACAGCGATGGCGAAGATCTGGCTGTTTGCGACGATGCCACGGATACCTCTTGGGCCAGCGAGGCGTAGACGCCGGCTCGAGATCTGGTTGGGGATCGCATCACCTCCTGCAGTTGGTGCCATATTGGATGATGATAAGAGTTGGTAGGTTGTTTGAAAAAGCAGCAGTTTGCCGTGTTCATTATGACGAGATTTGACGACTGATATATAAAGCTCTCTGGGAAAAATAGTGGGGACCCCGCGTTTTTCCCTGCAAACATTTTAACCGCTCGGCGCGACATTTATCCGTTTCACAGTGAACATATTTTAGTTGTACGATCATCTGAGACGGACCGGTGGCCCAGTTCCTTGGCGACCGGCTGTTGTTTGATCGATACCTTGGTGGGCGGTGTGGAAGTGCTGCAGTTGATCGGACGGAGCCGCAGCGCAAGAGGCCGTGATGATTTGAACTCCTTATCAACTGCACGGCAGCTGCTGCTCGTCGTAGTGCGTCAAAAGAGGTGCATGATGGCGTCGGAAACAACGACAGCAAAGCTGATCCAGACAATGGGCAACTGATCTCAGGCTAATTGTGATGAGAAGACATATTTTATTGGGTTCTCCACTCCAAGTTTCACTCCGAGGCAGCGGATAGAGTTTATAGAGCAACACAGGCACACCACATGATCCACAGATTGAGACAGATGACATAGTTTATTTATTGCATATCTTCCTTCTAATTGTGGAAGAGACGGTTCAAACTGGCATCTGCGTTGCTGGGTGTGCCAAGGGTTTTACATGTGGGTTCATATTGGGTCAACTCGCTGGAATAATAAACGCCGGTTTTAACGCAAACAAAATCATTCTATTCATTCAAATATCTATGACTAAACCTCTAACTCCTCACTTTTTCTTCAACAGCACGAAATCAGTCAATATCAGTCGAGCGGCCATCGCCAGACACGCGCCGCCAATCATATTTGCAGATGTGAAGATTGCCATGCCCCAGTACTTGCCATGATTAGACGACTGAATAGCACCGGCAATGGGCGAGCCGACCAGTGTCGCGAATGCCGTGAACGCGTTCACCATTCCGAGACGCGCTCCCATCTCACGCATGGGCGAGATCTCTCCGATGACGGCTTGCCACACTGTTAGCGCAGCACCGGAGACGAAACCATAGACTGCGGCGAATGCTATGATTTGCGGATGAGTCGTGATTGGGATCCAGAATGCAGCTGCGAGAGTGCCAGTGAGGAAAGCGGATAGGAAGAAGGTGTTGTATTTGCCAAGCTTGTCGGCGACAATGCCTGGCAATATACGTCCGAATGTGCTGGCGCCGTTGAGGATAGACGACAAATATGACGCGAGATCTGGCGAGAATCCATTTGCCTGACCGAAACTGCTGAGATAGTTGACCGGGACATAGGCGCCGAGCATAACACAGAAAGCGGACAGTGCTGTGAGAGCATATGGCGTCCACTTGAACGGCGAGATGTAAGTGTCATAAAGGGATACATGGCGCTTGCCAGGTGGCTTGACGCGCGTGGTGACGGTCGCGCAAGTGATCATTGAAAGTCCAAGGACAAAGAAGCCCATCGAGCGAACACCCCAACCGAATCCAGATCTGGCCTCGATCTTACGGAAAAGAATAGGAAGAATGACACCACCTGTCGAGGCGCCTGCTGTCGTGATACCCATTGCGGCTGCACGTCTCCTAACAAACCATCCACTGACGGACGAGAGAACCGGGTTGAACAGCAAGGTAGCTCCGAAGCTCGTGCACAGACTTTGGGCGAGGATGAGCTGCCAGTACTTTGTACATAGAGAGGTCATCATTACACCCAAAACCATCACCAGAGCGCCTGGCAGCATCAGTTTCTTGGGGCCGTAAACGTCGTACATTGGACCGATGACCAATGCTCCGAAAGTCATAATGAATGTTTGTATAGAGGAAATCCACGAGATCTGAGATGTTGAGTAGTCTTTGAGAAGAGTCTCTTTGTAGTACTGTTCGAAGACGCCTGCACGAGATACTATTAGTACATCGCCTTGCAATATTTCTTCAAGAGAAACCTACCCATGACGTTGACGAAACCAAAGGTCGACATAGTGCCGAAAAAGCCACCGAGGACGCATAACCAAGCTCTCCAGCCTCGATCGGGACGGTATAGCTCATGGGGACTCAGGATATATTCATCAGAGTCCGGACTCTGGTAGCCATACTGTGGTGGGAGGGTGTTCACTTCTTCGTCATCTTCCTCAATTTCTCCGGTGATGACTATAGAGTCTAGTTTCTCGAGCTCATCCGGGGGGGTGAGATGAGGACTTGAGCGCGTGCCCTCTTTTTCGGTTATTGTGACGATACCGAGATCTTTGCTGGCCGACATAGCCACTGAAGAGTCAAGCTCGTAAACAGTCGAGGTAGTAGTCGGGGGAGGAGTACTTTCCTTAAGATAGAAAGTAATAATTCGGCGGCCTGGTTATAGCGGAAAAAACTTAGAGCTCTTATCGGAAAAGCGCTGAGCGAAGATTGGCGGTTGAGATGAATTCAGGCCGCAGAAGTGGTCGATGCTATGCTATATAGACAGTCTAAACAGCTGTATTGGACTCAACAAAAGCCCCGATGAGCAAGAGTACATAGGAGACGAGAAGTAGCAAAGGAGTCGGATTGAGATAAGAGATAGAAGAGCAGGCAGGCACGACAACCTGCGGCGCGTGAAGATGGCGCTCAGGATAAAAACTAGCGCGGGCGCATTTCCGAAGCATGTCGCAAGCATTACGTGATTGCACCCGAGCTCCGAAGCTCAGTCGCGCAACGAAGTCGGCCCTGAGCAGAGGATTGATTGTAGATCGTGTTTCTATTACAACTATATAGATACACTTCTCTGGTAGAAAGAATACTTGGCACAATGCAGATTGAGCGAGGGCCAGCTGAGCAGAGCCATTGTAGCTCGAAACTCTATCGACGCCGCAGAATCCAGCGTTGCTTATCGCGAAGACGCGTTCAACGGATGGGGTAGATAACAATATATTATTGTGAGCGTCGACTGATACGACAGATAGGGGATTTCTATCACTATACTATGTCTTGCAAAGCTTAGCTTTGTTCATTATTTCTTGTGATTGCTTATTCGAGAAGCTTAGCGTTTGCTGGAGGAGCGTAGGTTCGTGATGGTGAGAGGCCGGGAGGTCAGAGTCAGTCACTGTAAGGCCGGATATGCGCTAATTGTAGAGCTTCAGGAAGCGCAATGATATTGTTAGCATCATCATGGTTGGATGCTGGACTTCTGAGCAGCAGTGAGCACGCCGCAGTGTGGAGCAGGCGGGCAGCGACAGATGACATCAGTACGTAAGCAGTATTGTATCATGTGACCTGGAGTAAGCACAGAGGGAAAACAGGGGCTTGTAGTTAATCTGGGGTCAAGGCGTCTGGTCTACTGAGACCAGGACTTGCTAGGATACTTCGGCCTGGCAATACACACAAATGATATGTCGCTGCACCGAGGACTGTGTTGTTTCGGCTCGGGTTGAATGATGTCCACTAGTTCCTTCCAGCTCAGCATCGCCAAAGAACTCTGCCGAATGATATTAAATGCGCGCATACAGCTCTTGCGTGAAGCAGAGTGATTACTCGAGCGCAGTGGAATATGACATAATAGACCTCCGCAGTTTCAGCGCAGTTTCAGCCTCGGTGCCCGTGAACCCCGGTCGGCGGTCTCGGTGGACACAAGCCCCGGTTTAGGCAGTATACGGAGTAGAGAGTGCGCGACGATGTCAGTGCAGGCGTAATCAGGTCCACCGGCATTGGCCCAGCAGCCACGCGGGCGTTGGCGTCGACAATTAGGGTTAAGGCGGGAAATGACTCCCCCACATAACTAACACACGGGGCAGCCTTCCCCTCGCCCTGCTTTTGGCCGACTCGCCGAGCAAACCGCTGCTCTGCTGTCGCCGTTTTATTTTTATTTCAGAGACGCCGTGTTTATAGCGTCCGTCTGCTCGCGATCGTCTCTCAGACGCTCTTTGCTGCAGTTAGTGCAGGGACAAGAGCCAGACAGACAGCGTTCTCACGACAACCACTCCGCCTCCTCCTCGCCGTCACCGCCCGGCATTCGGCATCTTTGGCCTCCCAGAACTCTGCAGCGGCGCCCTGGCTTTGTGGGGTTTGCCCCGGCAAAACATAACCGGGCGCGCTGACGGCAAAGCACTTTCCCGGCCCCCATTCGCTCGCCCATTCGCTGCACTGCATATATAAACTGCACCGACGTCCTTTTCTGCGGGCCCTCCATAGATCGTCTTCTAACACTCTGTCTCTTTCCTCGTGTATCAATCCTCACAAATGACAAACGCAAAGCTATCTGTCATCGTCGTCGGCGCCGGCCTCGGTGGTCTCGCTGCCGCTATCGCGCTCGCTACCCGTGGCCATACCGTCACTTTGCTCGAGGCGGCTCCCAAGCTTGGTGAGATCGGTGCTGGCATCCAGATCCCTCCAAACTCGACCGCCGTCCTCAAGCTCTTGGGCGTCTTCGACAAGCTCAAGGAGGTCGTCGTCGAGCCTTCCTCGATTAACATGGTCAACTACAAGACTGGCGAAATCTTGGGACCTGCCGCTCTCAACCCATACGTCGAGCAGGCCTATGGCTCTCCGTAAGTTTAACTTCGCTTTGCTTTTGGCATGTAGATATAGTGCTGACTAGATTCAATAGCTACTGGCTCATTCACCGTGCCGATTACCACAAGCAACTCCATGCGCGGGCGCAGGAGGTCGGCGTCAACATCATCGTTGACTCAAAGGTTGTCTCGGTCGACGAGTCCGTCCCCAGCGTCACCACCTGTGACGGTTTCTACGACACTCCCGCAAAGACATACACCGCCGACATTGTCATCGCTGCCGACGGTATCCAGTCTGGCCTTCGCAAGCTCATTTTCCCCGACCTCACCGGTGAGGTCCTCGAGTCCGAGAGTTCCGCTTATCGTTGCACTCTAACTGCGGAGCAAATGTCCGGTGATCCCGCTCTCGAGAAGCTTATGCAGAACCCGAGCGCAACAAGCTGGATCGGCCCTGGCGGTCACATCATGGCTTACCCAATCCGTAACGGCCAGCTCTACAACATGGTTTTGCTGCACCCGGCCGGAGACGAGAAGAGCGGCGAGTGGAACACCCCCGCCACTACCGAGGAGATGCTTGCAAAGTACGATGGCTGGGACCCGCTCGTTCGCAAGATGATCGCCATGGTGCCCTCGGCCATGAAGTGGAAGGTCTGCTACTTGAAGGAGCTCGACTCCTGGCGCAGCCGCTCGGGCAAGATCGTCTTGCTCGGTGACTCTGCTCACGCAACCGTTCCTTTCCTCGCGCAGGGCGCGGCCATGGCTATGGAGGACGCAATCACTCTGGCGGAGTGCCTTGATCTCGCCAAGGACCCTACCGAGTACACTGACCTTTTGAGCATCTACGAGGAGATCCGCAAGCCGCGCACGACCAGAATCGTCAAGGGCTCGCTCGAGATGGGCCGCATCAACCATCTGCCTGACGGCCCCGAGCAGCAGGCGCGCGACGAGGCGCTGAAGAACGCGGCGAGCAAGGGCACTGCCGCGCCCACGCGCTACGAGGCGCTGTCGAGCACCGAGATCCCGCCGTACGATCTCAAGAACCCGAACCCGTGGTCAGACACAGTTTTCGAGCCATGGATGCTGGGATATGACGTTGTGAAGGTGGTGAGGACACGGCTGGGACTTAAAGCCTAAACAGAATAAATTAACGGAATCAGACGATTTTTTCTTGTAACGATGAATTCTATTTGAGATAACAAAAGGTTTATAAGCTTGAATCTGGAATTAGAATTAGTAAACACATTGAACCTTGGACTTTGCGCTGGCCATCGGAGGCAGCCAAAACCATGTGCAGCCTTCTCTCGCGCGCGATCGGCGCTCTTCATTTCCCGTGACTGGCAGGTGACTCGGCGAACTTTAGTGATCCGTGCTGTGACTCAATTAATAACTTTTAAGTTTTCTGTTCTTCTGAGTCTGCTCGCCACGACTTTCGACGCTCCTCGTTTTCTTCCCGAGCCTGCTCTTCCTTCTCTTCTTTACTGTCCTCCTCCTTGATCCTTGAATGACCCTCCTGCTCCACCGCTGATATCATGGATCCCAGCGATCAGAAGTCTCTCGCCGCGATGCAGAGCGTCATCCAGTTCGGATCGCTCCCACCGCGCCCGAAACGCCCGCGGAAGCAACACATTTGCCAGTACTGCCAGGCTTCGTTCAAGCGGGGTGAGCATCTCCTACGCCACGAACGGTCCCATACCGCTGAGCGACCTTTCGACTGCGCTGCCTGCGAGACCTCGTTCTCGAGAAAGTGAGTTCGGTCTTTTTTCTATTTTCTAAAGTGGATCTAGGAGAGCATCAACTAATATGTGAAAACAGAGATCTGCTCATTCGACACACTCGAACCTGCGCTGCTGCCGCGGCCGCCGCCGCTGCAAAGGCCAAATCCTCCGGCGCCTCTCAGCTTCCTTCAAACACAGCCTCCAACCTGAATCCGTCCAGTGCCAGGTCCTCAGCGTCGGCCTCGGACTCGGAAAAGACAAACTCCCTGCTCCCGCTCTCCTTCCCCGCACTACAGGAGAAGCCCGATTCCGACAAAGCCGAGACCCTCGACAACACTTTTGGGGCTGCCGCTCTCAATACCACTCCTGCTGTTGTAAACCCCACTGCAGGCCTCGATCAGAGCAAACTATCATTATCTGCCGACGGTGCTACGATGTTTGATGATCTGCTCAACAACTCGCAGACTGAAAATTTGTCCGGAGCAGCCGCTTTGCCGAACCAAGCTATGGAAGTGACCAACGTCGACAATACTCAACCTGATAACAGCGCCGCGAACGAGATGCTTAATATGGAGACCGGAAACGACATGTTTGCCAACTTTGACATCTCGCAGTACGTCACCGCATCCTCGCCCATGAACATGTTTTCCCCCGGTACTTCCGCTTTACTGGGGTCGTTGGACCTCATCGGAGGAGATTACTGGGTCGGGCCACTCCCTGAACTGGACTCGAGAAAGGAGAGCGCACCACTCTCTCACCGGAGCGATTCTACCGGCGAAGACGAAGCTCGCTCGTTTGCCTTCAATGACGATTGGGACTCGTCTGCTTCGTCGCCCAACTCGGGTATCGATACCGACACTCCATGGAGCGACATGTTGACCGAAGGCATTGATTTCGACATGTGTGACATCAACAAAGTTGCCATTTTCGACGACACCTGTCGGGCTAATTTGTTCAACATATTGTCAGCCATCTCACCGCACGCGAACGCGCCCATACTGCCGACTACAGACCAACTGAACACGTATCTCATTGTTTACAAGACCGGCTATGGTCAGCAATTCCCGCTGATCCACTCAACCTTCTGCCGATTCAGTTTTGTTAGACGATCCGGCGAAATTACGATCGAGAAGATGGCCGGTGCGGTTCTGATGATGGTTATGAGTGCTATCGGTGCAGTCTACGTCTCGGATCACGAGGAAGCCAAATCCCTCTGCTCGCAGTGCAAGGAATATATTACATTGATGTCGGTTGGTCGCACGATCTTCACTGATGATCAGTACCTGCCTTTGCTGCAAGCCAAGCTTCTGACCTGTATGTTTGACGCCTGGAGCGGTGACGTCGAGATGATTGAGTCTGCGCTCAATGATTTGCCGTTCCTTAGCCGGTGTTGCGCCTACGGTGTCCAGCGCCGGAAGGCCAGAGATATCTCGAGCTGGTCCGCATGGGTCACTCGTGAGGGTTATCACAGGCTGTACTGGGGTATCTTCACATTCATGTCAAATCTCAATCTTGCGTACGGTCAGGGAATGGTGGTCCGGCTCACAGATCTTGGGCTACCGTTACCCGAGAGTGACCAGCTTTGGTTTGCAAACGCAGAAGGCCAGTTTCATAGCCTGCTCACCGAGTTGGATGCCTCTCTCACCACCGATGAGGCTATCGCTCGTATCTTTGCCGCCTCTAGTATGGATTCGAATGAAGTGGACAAAGCTGATCGGCAGATGTCAAAGTTTGCAATTCTAGTGTTGCTACACATGGTCATGCAGCACTTGGGTGATACCAAACAAGTGCTTCACTTCTCTGGCGTGTCTGCGATGGGTGGTGATTCGCGCGGTTCAAACTCTGGCATTGAGCTCGAGTATATCCGCACGGTCTCCTATGAGCAGATCGACAGATTGATTCACCATCTGATCAAGTGCCTGCTGAAGCTTTCAAACACTCGTGGCCGAGTGTCGATCGAGTCCATGGCCCATATCATCAAAATCAGACGGTGCGGTATCTCGGTGACTTCATTTTTCAGAGGTTTGCTCTCAGATCCGTGCCTGTCGGAATACCTCGATCCTGTTATTGATGAGTTTGCGCTCCGGACGCTGACACGTTCGACGCAAGCAAACAAGGCAATCTATCTCTCACTTCCTTATGTTCGCGGGTTTATTCGAGCCGAGGAAAAACCGGATAGTATTGAGCAGGTGCTCTGTTTCTGGGAGTCTATGCTTTCGTTGATTGCTTGGATACATGGTGTCGAAGCTGCCTCTGAGCGGGAGATGTCGGTTGAGGAACAATTTGTGGTCGAGAGTGTATCTCAAATGATTGAGTCCTCTACGATGGATCTGCCAAAGGTTTGCGGGTTGTCTCCTCAGACGGGAGCATCTATGTTTACGTCGGTGAAAACGCAGGGTGCAGGACAGCCTTCAGTGTCGGCCCAGGTGGCGCATATGAGTCACGAGATATTTAAGAAGGACGGCAAGTGGGATATCACGAAACGAATGGCTCTTGTTATGGAACGATTAGAGAAACGATTGAGATAAGTTTTGAGATTAGTTATTGCAGGTTATGATTTCTTGCTTGTTTTAAGGAGTTTACGTGGGGCCTGTTAAATTGTTTGGAATGGTTTGATTATTCTAGATATATGATGTCTGATTAGTTTGTTTTCGCTCCGGTGTATACTACGATTGTACAAGGTAAAATTAATGATTGTTTAAATTAAAAAAGCGATGTGACGTAGCTTGGATATAAGATAGTTTTATGCAGATTTGATTAAGTATTCACATAGAAAGGACGTATATACACAACAATCACAAATTCTCCAAAGATTAAGATGATTAGTCAAAAAACACTTATAGCAAAAGAAGGAAACAAAAAGCAAAATAAATGAAATAACTCCTACAAATACAACCGCTGCAAGGGTGGATGTATTGTATGCAGCGCTGATTTTTGATCAGCGAAAGCCATTAGTTCGTACTATCCCAATAGTCTGCCCCATCCCATAACCAAAAACAATGAAAAGAAAAGCGTCTGACTGAGAAGAAGATTAGGCAGAGCAAGAATGCATGCAAGTCAAGAGATCGCGAGCCGGGAGGACGACAGCGGCGTTGCCGTGGTCGCCTACGCCGAGACTGACGATGACTTTTTCGTTCAAGTAGCCCTCGTAGCGGTTCTGGTTAGTTTCCCAGTTGACGCTGACGGTGTACATGAATTTTCCCTCGACGTCGTACATCTGCTCCCAGCGATCCTCGTTGTCGAAGCGGACGTGCTTGTCGCCAAAGCCGATGAGTTCGAACGGGGCGGTGGATTTCCAGACCGCGACGTAGCGGTGGTACTGGACTTTGAAACTGCCCTTGACGCCGAGCTTTTTGTGGAGGAAGGACATGAAGACTGTGTTTTCGGGGCCCGGGGTGCATTCGCCGTAGTTGCAGAGGACGATTTTGATGGCGTTTGTGGCCTGGTGCCAGGTGGCGTCTTCGGTGATGCAGGGGAGCTCGAGCGGGCTCGTGAGGTTTGAGGTCGTGAGGCCGTTGCCGATTAGTTTTGCAAAGTGGCGTTTGTTGTACGCGAGATCGTATTGGACGTAGGATTCGGAGGTGGCGGAATCGTAAAACATGAGGTAGTTCTTTTCGACGGTGCCGCGGCCTTCGAGGCGGGTGAGCTCCATGACGGTGGGGAACTGGTTGAGAAGAGATCGGTTGACGCGGTAGCGCAGGGAGGGGTATACGCTGCGGAGATCGATGACCCAGAGCCCGAAGCAGCCGTAGCGCGATTGCTGGTTGATGATCATCAGCGGGGCGCCGTCCATCGACCAGAATATCCGGGGGTCGTGATAGCCGGGGACGTCAGACATAAAGTCACGGGCTTGGCAATCGCGAGCCGGGGTCTGGGGAACTTGGAGCAGCTTTGCGCTGGTGGCACAGCCGATGAGGCGGGTGGTGACGGGGAAGCCGTATGCGTTGTCTTTGGTTTCGTCGTGGTATTTGCCTTCGCAGATGAGGGTTTGTTGCATGAGACCGTCGCCACGCACACGGGCGACGATCAGGAACGGGAAGTGGGAGGACGGCGGGAGAGCGAGGATGGTGGGGTTGTATGTGACGGGGAACTGCTCGTTCATGACTCTGACCTCGAGGATCTCGTACTTTAGCGAGACAAAGGTGTCAAACACCTCCGCGGATTTAGGCGTGCCGGTCGCGCACTGGAACATGAACGAGGTGAGCTCTTTCGCGAGGCCGCGGGTCGTGCGCAGCTTTGCGCTCTGCTCGGACAGCTTGCGCAGCCTGCTTGCGCGTACGCGGCCGTGGCCGTCGCCGATCTCGAGGTTGGAGGTGTCGAGCTCGGGTTGGAGGGAGGAGAGGTAGGAGGGCAGTTGGAAGGTGATGTGGCGGCGGATGTCGGGCAGAGGGACGGAGTATGGCTCGAGGCGGCGGGGGAGGGAGACGCGCCAGAGGGTGATGAGGGAGAGCACGAGGAGGACGATGAGGAGGTTGAAGGTGCCCTGGCCGCTGCGGGACGCCATGGCGGAGAGCAGAGGGAGAGCAGGAGAGAGTGATGATGAGGAAGGAGAGGAGGAGGAGGAGGAGGAGGAGAAGATAAGAAGAAGAAGAAGAGGAAGAGGAAGAAGAAATGAGATAAAAGGTCAACAAGGCTTTTGTTCGTCTCGGCGCAGCATTCACATGAGCGCGGCTGCTGCAACGCGTGAAACCCCTGCACGCTGTGAACCAGAATTTTAAATAAATATTTTTTTTGGCTGTGAACCAGCACAAAGCGTAGCCGCACGCCTCAATTAATTCAAAGTCTCTCTGTACGTCGGGTAGTCTCTGCTGTGGCGTTGGTTGATAGTAGTAGTAGTAGTAGTTCTTTATATTTTACAACTTTCTAAATACATGACTGTTTACACCTTCATCAGCAAACTCGCGCCAATCGCAAGCTCGGCCGCCGCCTTCGCCAGATCGCGGAGCTGCTCCTCGCGTTCCTGCTTATCCTCGCTCAACCGCTTCGGATCGATCGACAACGACGTCTCCACCCTCCGTCCGTCGAGAACGCTGCTCTCGACGACGCAGAACTTGAGCACGTGCTCGCCGTACATGTACTGCAACTCCCAGCGCTGCTCGAATGAGCGGAAGAGGTAGGTGATTGCTTTCTCGTCGACTTCAGCGGGTGCCGTGTTGTTGGTGACCTCTACGGCCGAAGACATGTCTGTCATAGATTGGAGCTCGAAAGTGCTACCTGTCTTGTCTTCAGCTGGTGCTGCTTCTGTAGATGGTGCTGTGTCGTCTTCACTCATCCATTGAGAGAGCGTTCGTGGCTTGAACTGGGGTTCCGATGCACTGGGCTTCTCTTCAGTCGACACTTCTTCCGAGGAGTGTTCAGCAGTGCTGTCCTCCTTGGTAGACACTTCTTCCGTCACCTGTTCAGCAGCGCTGTCAGCAGCCCCATCAAAAACGTCGAGGCGCACGGGCATGCTGTGCGGGATCTTCACCCGCTTCGTATCATCTCCAAGCTCGATCTTCATCTGCTGCAGGAACTGCCGAACCCCCGGCTGCTGAACCACAATCGGCGTATCCACTCTTCGCTGAAACCGGATATCCATAATCTGCCGCGGCAGGCACAGATCGATCGCAGAGTCGCTCTCGCGCGACACCAGCGAGACCTGGCTCGTGCTCTTCCAATCATCCTTGGCCGCCACATCCATCTCGAGCGGTGTGTAGTCTGTGAACGAGTCTGGGTGCGCGTAGGGCGAGGGCATGAACTTTAGGCGGAAGTACTTGCGCAGGAAATGCGGTTGGGAAATATGTTTGAGAGATTGGGCGCTGTATGGATGCGCTTTCCAGTCTGAGTTGCGGTCGCGGAGGAAGGTCTCGATGTAGCGTGAAAAGATGGGAGCGCTGCGCGAAGCGTTAGATGGGATGCAGGATAATGAGAAGAATTTGTCCACGAAACTTACTGCTCGACAAAGATATACTTGTCCTTGGAATGCAACTCTGAGCTCTCCAAGATATCGGCATCGTTACCAATCTTCTCTTGCTCGTGGAGTGCCGATCCGAATCTAAACCTCTAGTTAGCATAGCACACAACAAAGTCATTCAGAAAGAGCTTACTTGGCAGTGTACTGTGGGCTGCTCGTAGCGGTCGTTGACTCTCCTGCCGCCAACTCCTCGAGCTTGTCAAAGACAGTGGCAAACTCGTTGGTCGGGCCCGAATTACGCACATCAGCCGCAGGTTCGGATTCACTTGATGAGTCTGCATGTGAACTCTCGGTAGACTGCTGTGTAGATTGTGTCTTGCTTGGAAGGGCGTTCGAATCTGGATACTTCTCCCCATCCCCTCTGACTATGCGCTTCATCAACTCTCCAACCGCCCGATCAACCGTACGTCCAGGCTGGCGCGTGGAATCAAACCCAACAAGCTGCAGCCCGTAGTTTTCGTCCTTTGCCGGCTCGACCATCCTGAACGATTCCGATCGTAGTTTATCGAGCTCTTCAAGAACTAATTTCGGATAGTCGTTCAGCAATTCAGAAAGAGAAAGAGGGATACCGCTGTTTGCGACCGAATAGCTCGAAATCACGCTGCGCCACCGCTGCCAGCGACTGTTGCGGGAGTACCATGGAATCGCGCTTGTTTCGTAAATGTTGTAGAACGCGGTGTCGCTGTCGGACAGAGAGCCGGGTGAGAAGAAGAGGTAGTTTGACTCGCGGCGGTAGAGCTTGAGCGAGAGGATGATGAGTCGGCGAGCGAGCGCGAGTCTGTGGTCGCTCAAGGCGGAGATTTTGATGTTGCGGTTGTCGATGATTTCGACAAACGTCTCGCTTAGCTGGGAGATGACGGTGGTTGGGATATCGGTGGCAGAGACATCCGGGCAGTATTCCAAAAAGTCGAGACTGAAGGTCTCATCGATGACGTTCTTGAGAATGAATTGCAGCCGGCGCGCCGCGCGGTCGACGTCGTACTCGGTACCAAGGAGCTCGAGCGAGTCAAGCTTGCGACTGACCTGGACGGTGACGCCGAGCTCGGTAGTTTTGCGAAGCAAGAGCGCGTTCTTGGACAGAAGCAGGACCATATCTCGTCGCTGCGGGATGGGGACTTCTCTGTGGGTGAGCAAGTCCTTTGTGATGTCGGATGAGATTTTGATGCCCCAGATCTTTGAGATGACGGCCAACACCAAATTCGCCTTTCTCGCGGAACCATTTTTGTGTGCGATATAGGGCCTGTTGCCAGGTTCGGTGGTGAGGGTGATGTACTCGATAATCTGCTGTTTGTTGAATGCTTTCAAGATAGATTTTTGCAACTGCATGTGGCGCGCAGGAGAGACGAGGTTGGCGTGTGGCCGGAAGGAGTCGATCGAGCCTACTATATCGTTGATTCTGGTCTTGAGAGAGTCACGCAGCATCGAGGATATTTTGGTGACGACGGTGTCGTAAGCACGGTCGTTTTCGACAGTGTAGTGGGTTACAGGGGCCGGGTCCCTATGATGATGGGAATGTCTGCGGCGACGGCGGAAGAGCTTTTCCTGGAGGATGATGATATCCCTGTTTTGTCCTCGATGCTCAAAGTCCTCTTGCTTCGGTTCTGTCGTAGCTCGGACGGGCTTTTCAGGTTCGGTGTGAGTTTTCGATGCTGGCGGTGGCCTTGCCACAAAGTCTTCGTCGAAGAGCTCGGATCTGAGGTCGTCGATGTTGATCGACGACCGGGTCTGCTGCACAAAAGTCTGGTTCTCGAGGTCGCGCTGGAAGAAGTCGATGAGGGCCTGGTCTGAATCCTCGTCGGTCTGGCGGCGGGACGACGCAGATTCGGTCGAGGCCGGTCGCTGGGTGTGCGGGATTGCCGCGACGGCCGGGAAGGACGAGAGATGGCTCCGGACGCAGGGCCGGTAGAGTGGAGAGGTTCTCCTAAGAGCTAGTCGTAGGGAGCCCTCAGCCCGTCGGAAAGACAACATGTCGAGGTGGGGGGGTGGGTTGTGGAAGAAAGAGAAGGAGAGCTGAGGTCGAGGAGGTTTAGAAAATAATTTGTCGTTTGGGAGATATGAAATTTTTGGTGTAGAAGTTTATTTTTCGAGACTCACAAACAGAGAGAGGAAGATAGATGATGAACGACAATGGCATGGATTGTAGTTGAACGATGTATACTGTTGATGTATTATATATATGAACTAAATATGAGTATATATTGGATTAGTAGGAATTATGTAGTATTTCAAATCCAAACAATTAGAAGTATAGTAGAACTTGGAGTGGATGATTATAGTATTCGAATTTGTACAAATATAAATGGAACAAGTATATCAACAAGACTACGACTAATTCACTTTCAAAAACTCATCGCGCTTCTTTCTGTATGCAGCACAGTTACGCAACCACCGTCGGTAGCCGTGGAGGGAGGTGATTTTCTCGCCGTAGTAGTCGGGGACGGGGTTGGCGAAGGACTGGTAGGAGGGATCGACGCGGTTTCTGATGACGTGCTGGAGGAAGAGGTCTTCTTTCTGTAGAGTTATTTGTGTTAGAGTAGTTTGAGGAAGGGAGAGAGAGAAGAGAGTGTTGATTACCTCAGTGAATGGTATCCGCTTGGATCCTAAGACGATGTACTTAAAGACAAGATTACCGAGCAAAGGACCACACAGAGCAGAAAGACCAGTAAAAGCAAAGAGACCAGCTCCGAGGACCATCAGAGGATCGAAGCCAAAGATCATCTGGGTAGGATCGATTGGGACGGTTGCGAAGAAACCCCAGCCTACACCGAGACCGACGACGCCGGAGACGACCATTGAGCCGATTTGGAAGCCGCGGCGGTAGGTTCTGTATTTGAGGAACTCATTCCAGGTGAGTGTGCCGGTGTTTGGTGTGGATGAAGATTTAGAAGATGGTGATGGAGCTGATGGAGTGGCGGTGGAGCGAGGAGAGAGAGAGGATGAGAAGAGACGGAGAGGGTGTTGGAAGGCGGGAGATGCGAGCGGGAGTGTGCGGGAGAGGATGGAGCAAGGGCGGGCGAGGATGGAGGCCGCCGCAGGAGACGAGAAGCGCTGCATTGCGGGAGTCTATGCGAGTGAGGGTGCTGGTGGGTTTGTAGGTCTTCGGGAGAGGTCTGGTGCCGGATCGTGAAGGAGGTTAAAAGTTTCGATGGAGGTCTGCTTGTTTGGCCACCGGGGTGAGGCGGTGAGGGAGAGGGTTGGGGTGGGGGTGGGTGGTGTTTAGTGAGTCAGGTGTCTGTAAGAGTGGGAGAGTGGATGACTCATATATTAAGTCCGACAGAGACGAGGGAAGTGAAGCCCTACGGAAAGTGGTAAACCCTACGACAACTCCACGGACGAACAGTTTGTCCGAGAGAGATGAGATGAGAGAAGAAGAAGAAGAAGAAGAAGAAGAGGAGACAGAGCAGACGAGCAGACGAGCAGACGAGACGGGCACATGATCCGCTCTGGTCGGACGGTCGACGGTCACAAGACAAAGCCTTCGGAGTTTGGCCACGCTGAACGTCATAGAGAGCGCAAGAGTGAATAGCTGCTGCTACTACCACTTACAGAGACGGTGAAGAGAGTAAGCAGCGGCCCAGAACGTTTGTTTGTAATGCGAATTAGTCAACTTTTCAACTCCAAACGCGGGTTTTTTATTTATTTTTTATTGTGAAATAGTTAATTTTTTCGGAGGTAAGTCGGCACTCGCCTCCAGAACTCAGGACAGGACGCTGTTCGCGGGCTGATGTTTGTGAAGAAGACTGCTGTTCTTCTTCTCACTATCTGCTACTTCTTCTACTTGAAGCAGCTCTTCAGGATCTGATCTCTCGGTCAAATACGACTCAGTCACAGAGTCACACTGTGAGCAGTGAACACAAATGAGGGGCCCCTCCCCCGGCCAATCACCGCCTCGGGATAATAATGCGCGCCTCAGTCCACCGTGCGGCTCATTTGTGAGCCCACAACCCCGCCTCAGCAACTTGTTCACCATCGACTGCTTTCGGCTTCTATAAAGACCTCCGCTTCCCTCCTCCTTCTTCTTCTTCTTCTCTTCTTCTCTGTCTTCTTGATCTCTTCTACTCTCACCCTCTCTCTACTGCCATGTCACTCCTCAGATCATCCCTCCGCGCTTCCTCGCGCATCGCCTCCCGCGCCTCCACCCGCTCCCCCCTCGCCCTCCGCTCTGCCCTCTCCGTCCGTCGGTTCGCGACTGAGCCCCCCAAAGCCGCAGAGCCCGCTCCCGAGCCCACCCCCAAACCCGAGCCTCCTTCCTCGGGTTCCAGCGGCATCATCTTCGCCGCCCTCGCTGCTGCCCTCGCCGCCGGTGGTTACTACTACTACTCCACCACCTCTGATGCCTCGGCCACCAAGGGCCCCTTTGTCCCCACTTACGAAGACTACAGGAAGGTCTACGCTGACATCGCCGACGCCCTCGAGGACAACGACTACGACGACGGTTCCTTCGGCCCTGTCCTCATCCGTCTCGCCTGGCACGCTTCCGGCACTTATGATGTCAACACCAAGACCGGTGGCTCCAACGGTGCTACTATGAGGTACCTATCTATCTATTCCTTCTCTCCTTCATACCGTATGCTGATCATATTCACTATTCTAGATTCGACCCTGAAGCCTCGCATGTATGCTCTCATCCCTCCTCTCTCAGATCAATATCAGCCTCACCTTCTCTAATTTCACTACTAACATCTACCTCTTTTCCTCTTAGGGTGCCAACGCTGGTCTCGTAAGTCTACCCACTTCTTCAATCAATCTCATCAACACTCTCTAACTCCCCACAGAAAGCTGCCCGTGACCGTCTCGAGCCCATCCACGCCAAGTACCCCTGGATCTCCTACGGTGACCTCTGGACCCTCGGCGGCGTCTGCGCCGTCCAGGAGATGGGTGGTCCCACCATTCCCTGGCGTCCGGGTCGTGAGGATGCTGATGCCGGTAAGTCCCTCTCATATCCATCTTCAATATATCATATACAGCAATCGCATGTTGGCAGTCATATCTATCGTGCGTCACGTGATTATAGTGTCGCCTTATCGCGATCACGCTCCACCATCATGCGATCACCTGTGACGAGATATATTTGGCATAAACCGATCTAGTCTTGTCTAACTTCTTTTCCAGCCGCCTGCACTCCCGATGGACGATTGCCCGATGCCGCTCAGGGATCTGACCACATCCGCAACATCTTCTACCGCATGGGTGTGTATAACGTAATCCGTTACTAATAACGTATAAAACCTCTGCTAACTCCGAACTCCAGGCTTCAACGATCAGGAGATTGTTGCCCTTGTTGGTGCCCACGCTCTCGGCCGCTGCCACACCGACCGATCTGGATTCGACGGCCCCTGGACTTTTGCTCCCACTTACATGACCAACGACTTCTACAAGCTCCTGCTTGACGAGAAGTGGCACTGGAGAAAATGGAACGGACCTAAGCAGTACGAGGATGACAAGACCAAGAGCTTGATGATGCTTCCTGCTGATATGGCGCTTGTCAAGGACAAGAGCTTTAAGAAGTACGTCGAGAAGTACGCTAAGGACAACGATGCCTTCTTTGCCGACTTTAGCAAGGCTTTCGCAACCCTTCTCGAGCTCGGTGTTCCTTTCAAGACCGAGGAGAAGTGGTCTTTCCCGGCCTCTAGCGCTTAAGCTAGATATTATATTGATACAATAATAGAATTTATTACTATATAACCCGTATTATAGCTATCAGCTAATTTCTTTTTTATTTTGTACCTGTTTTAGTGTTTGACCTTGACTTTGACCTTGACCTTGATTCTGGTTCTTTTGATTCTTTTGTTTTTGTATAATTGGCATAGTCGTCGCTATGTGACCCTGACCTTGACTTTGACTTTGATTCTGCTTTTGATTCTTTTGTTGCTTCTGTATAATCGGCATAGTCGTCGCTATTGTCTTCAGGTTGAGACCTTGGTATCCTCCACTGTTCCTGTTCTCCCCTGGAAGACCCCATGGCGCTGAAACGTAGTCGACCTTCTCCAGCGCTTGAAAGAGCATCTCTGCGTTCGGGCAGTCTTTCCTCACTCCTACCACGCCCAATTCAGCGATTCCAGAAAAGCTCGATATAGTTTCCATCGACTTGCGCGGCAGAGTCACCACTTTGACGCGCGGCGAGGCGGTTACTGAGAGCATCAGGAAATGGGATACAAGAATGGCGGGTGTAATGTCATGTCTTGCGACGAAGAGGGCCGTTACTGGATTTTTGATCTTTGCGGCTCTGTTGAATGTCTTGTGGTTCTTGGTCGCATAGGAAGAGGAGATGTAGATTTCTGATGTCTGGCTTTCAAGAGCTTGAGTGGACTTGTTGATCCCCAGTGTCAGATGAGCCAGGACGTCTGGCCGGTGGTGTTTACCCTGGGACTGGCTATCGTGGGCTTTGGCTGTGCTCTTGTGGGAGTGATTCGATTTTTCCGCAATGTATGGCTGGAGGGGACGTAGCAGACTAGTGACTGTTAGAAGACAGAAAGCTGTGCTGGTAAAGTCTTGTACATACCCGCAGAGCAGATCTAAATACAGCTGTCCTTCGTTTGTTGGTATTTCTGGCCTGGAGAGCAAGGATCAGGTTAGCTTGTGAAGAACTCATTGAATAAGAGGCAAGTGCCCACCATTGCACCTTCACCAGCGGATTGTCAAGCAAAGGCCGGTACACCGCCTTCCGCTTCGGCTCAGCAATCGGCTCCGGTGCTTTTCGTTTCGCGCCTGCCTGCGACATGACTGTAGATCGAATGTAGACAAGCAAGTCTGCTGAAGGAAGACAGATTTTGCTCATTGAAGCGTTGCTCACGTGTCTTCAAACTTTATCCCGGACGGAGATCTCGCCTCGCGGGTCCGGCGGGCGCCCTTCAGAGACCTAAAGACCCTCGGAGATCTGTGTGTTGCTGCTATTTACTGGGATGCGCTGTGTGTTCCTGGTACTTGTTTTTTAGTATCTGGTTTTTTGCTATTTCTTGTTTTCGATACCGCTTCTTCGTGGGTTCGAGTCGGCGCGTCGGTGATTCTGCCGCAGTTCGTTGGAGCAACATAAACAGACGCTGCAATAGCAACAGCAGCCGCTGCTCAGTCAGTATCTATACAAAGAGACACATTCTCTGCTTAATAGGTCAATTCTTGTTTGAGTTGACGGATCGCAGTCCGGATCAAACAACAAAGCAACTCTCTGATTCGCAGTCTCGCGCTGGACGGGGGCAGCAATAACACACAGGCAGACATAGATTGCCGATGATTAATCTTGAGTCGTTAAACACCGATATCGAAGCTACCACTGCGAGCAATGAGGAAGAGGAAGGTGTGTTTTGGAGTTGCTTGATAGCCACTGCTTTTTGCTCTTACTGACTAGCAATAACCAGATTCGCTCAACGAATCGTCCAGTCCAACTTGGGCGCTAGGTGACATTCTGCAGTCGCTCGAAGAACCGGACCGATCACCTCTATTCCTAGTCTCAAAGACGAACGAGCTAGTGTCTTTACTGCAGAAGCATCCATACCTCAAGAAAGAGCTTGTTCTGAGTGTATTCGGACGGCGGTAAGTCTCCCCACCCTCGCCTTCTCGACCTCGACAGACGCTAAATTACGACCATGGCATTAGAGTACAAAAACTGCTGTCGCATCCCGCGAAAGAAGTCGTCGCGACAGGATACCGAACCGCGCGCTATGCGATCTTTGATATTCAGTCTTTGCGGGCAATTATCGGCCTTCACACCGATTCCTTTGTGTTGAAGTATGCAGATGTCACAAGTATCTAGCCTCAAATCTTTTTATTAATATTTTCCTTGTCTAGATCTCTTGCAAAAGACGCAAAGTTCAACGTCGAAAGAGAGCAGGCGATTAAATTTATCCGTGGATACCTCGAGATTCCGGATGGTGCGAATGAGCTCTCGTTGGGTGTTGTGTGTGCTTTGGTAGCCGTGGCGGAGGATTCTACTGATAAACTGTCAAATATTGCCGTCGAGACTTTGGCAGAGCTACGTATGTCGACGACCCTTTTCTTGCAGTGTACTCAGAACTAATGATAATACAGTGCTATACGTTCCGGAAAAAATCAATGCGGCAGGAGGAGTCAAGGTCTTGGCCCTGACGCTTGCCAACGGCCCGTATGATCTCGCAGAAGGCATAGCCGTAGCATTCATGCAGCTACTCGACAAGCCGGGCACGAGAAAGTACATCTGGGCGGGTCAAGACCTCGACGTGATATTCTCTCCCTTGACAGAACTGCAAGAACAAGATCATATGGACGAAGCTAAAGTTCGAAGCTGTTCGCGGGTGATTGCGATGATGCTCAAGAGTTGGCCGGGACTGTTTTATATGTGCATGTTTGATTTCCGGTCAATTAAGGCTTTTGTGGAGATTTTGCGATTACCGATCGCGGGTCTGCGAGTAGGTTTATGCCAACTGCCCTGTGATACTAGAGAATTTTTTGCTAATCACTTGTTTAGGATGTAATTATGGATCTCTATTTTGAGATTCTCAACATAAAAACTCCCGCTTGGTCTGCTGCGTTCCTCGCTGGCCAGAAGATGACTGGTGAGTTTAAGATGACTATGTGTTTGAGGCAGCGAGCTAACGTGGGTGCCATAGACTATGCAGGGACGTCGAGTGACGAACAGCCCGGCTTGAGAGAAGTCAGGGACAAAAGTCGCTCGCTGACTGATAAATACGTTGCTTTACTTCTAGCACTATTTATCGAAACCGATTTATTAAAAGTTCTGTTTACGGTTATCGAAGAAAACACAGATGCGAAGAATACGCGAAAGGCAATGTTGCTTCTGGGAGAGATAATCAGTCTATCGGCAAAGATACTACCGCAGCAATATGCAATCAAGACGCAGATCTTAGGCGGCTTGTTTAGATCTGCTGCAAGATTGGAAACGATCGATAGGTTTGCTGCTAGTTCGGCCATCTTTCAGATCGACCGGATTACAAAGAATCTGTATCACTCGTTTCCGGATCTGGCGCTGCAGAACCAGCGGGATGGCGGGCTGCCGGTGAAGGAAAGTCGGAGGTCTGAGTTGAAGAAATTGAGGCTTGGGTTACATCTCGATGATACCTATTTCCGAAGTCTGTTGCTGGAGACGAACGTGCTGAGTACGAAAAACTATTCAAAGTGGAACTGGGATACTCTGATTGAGATCATGCAGGGACCGCTGATGAACCCCAAACGTCTTGATGAAGCGATTCGAGCCACAAAGTTTATGAAGCGGTTGATGTCGTTTTACCGGCCGTTCAAGTATCGCTTCTCGGAGGTGCGCAAGACTTCGACTACGCAGCGGTATGTCAAAGCCGGATGCGTGCTGGTGAAGACGTTGCTCGCGAATCCGGAGGGCGTCAAGTATCTTTCTGAAAATAAGCTGCTTCGGCAGATTGCGGAGTGTATGGCCCAGTTGGATCCTATGAGCGGGATTACTTCCTCCGAGCCTCTGTTCTCTAAACAGAGACTCGAGACTACGCTTAGTTATGGGTATTTCACACTTCTGGGGACGCTGAGCTCGGATCCGAACGGAGTGATGATGATTGAGCGATGGCGCATGTTCAACATGTTTTACCATCTCTCGGAGCTGACGTCAAGAAAGGACTTGATCGTCGCGCTGATCTCCAGTCTGGACTATCATCTTGAAGGCCATCCTCGAATTCTCTTGGGCAAAGTTCTGACCACCGGCGAGAAGGAAGTGCGAATGTTTGCGACGTCATTCGTCGGCACGCTGCTTGATCTCGAAGATCTAGAGATGCACGACTGGGCGGTGCAGCTGCTGGTCGAGCAGCTGTATGATGTCGATCAGGAAGTTTGCGACTTGGCGGTGAAAACTCTGGGGGATGCATGCATGGCAAGTCGGACGCTGGATAGGATCGTGGAATGTCTGCCTGATCTTGAGTATCTGACTGAATCTGTTTCGCCGCTTTTGCTGAGATTTTTATCTACACCACAAGGACTCGAGTATCTGAAAGGGCTGGATTATGTGGAGCAGCAAATGCAGGAATGGTATATCTCCGGCAACGAGACGTATGTGTATGTTGTCGAGCGGCAGCTTGCCATTTCACTGCTGGCGCAGAACAGTCACGCCGCGGTAGGCGATAGCACGCTTCCGCCCCACTTTTACCGTGAGCTCGTGCGGACGGCCGAGGGCTGCAAGATCCTGAAGCAAAAAGATCACGTCAGACGGCTGTGTGAGTATATCGAGCTTCATCATGACGAGGAGGCCGATCCGGTTATCTTGACCAAGCTGAAATCCTGCCTGTGGGCGATTGGAAATATTGCTTCGATGGAGCTCGGAGTGCCGTTTGTGGAAGAAGCCGAGATCACAAAGACGATATTCCAGATCGCGACGACATCGCAAGTATGGTCGCTCAAAGGCACAGCGTTCTACGTCATCAGCCTTATCTCATCCACCCCGCGCGGTCTCGAGATGGTCGACGAGTATGGCTGGGAATCGACAGTCTCGGTGATGGGCGATCCGATGGGCCTGTGCGTGCCGAAAGACATTCGGAGCTTTCTCGAGCTGCCGCCGTGGGAGTCGTTTGTCAGTCTGCGGCCGTCGCGCAGGGGCGTGTATGTCGCGGACGCGGATATGGGGAATCTGAAGCAGGTCGTGGTTGCGGCTCCGCAGCCTGCAAAGGCGCAGGCGCAAAAGTCTGAGCGGTAGGCGGCGAAGCGAGAGCAAGATCTTAGCGGTAGGGCGGCGAGAGCGAGAGATAGAGATAGAGTGGGGACGGGGTCTTGATTTTGGAGTTTAGGGAGTTTTGATCTGTTTGTTTGTACGAGATATGTTTTGATGAGGGTGGTGGTAGTGAGTAGTGTCTTATGAGACTTTAAAAGTATCAGAAACTCCAAGTTAATATTAATTCTATATATACACTTCAAACATGCCTAGCAACTTTTCTCAAACCCGATATCGTACACCCCAATCGCAACCACCTAATGCCCCGCCTGCTTAAACTTCCGTTTCTCATACCAAAGATCACTCCTACTCGACCCGACATTAATAATCTTCGGGCATCCGTCGCGGTCGTTTTCGAGCCGCGTGCATTCGAAGCAGTAGAAGGCGTCGGAGATGCCGATGCCGCCGCAAATTATACATTTCCCTGCAAAGTTGCCGAATGAGCATTCGTCGCAGATGCGGACGAGGGTCGTTGGGCGGACTTGTGTGTTGTGTTAGTATGTACTCGTACTCATACCTATAATCGTATAAAGATAAGAAATAGAAATAGAGAGCATACCGTAACTATCGCAGACAGGACATTTGCCATCACATTTCTCGCATAATCGGCCGACGCTGATTCCTGCCGTCTTGCGACACATAATCAGATCTGGATGATGGCGCGACATTCTCCTCTTCTTTGTCTCCTTCTTTCTCTTTGTCTGTCTGTTTCTTCACAATATAAAAGCAGCAGCAAAGGGATCTCTGGCTGACAATCACAGGATATACGCGGGGTGGCGAAAGATTGGTGCTGTGATTTGGACTAATATCTCGTTTGCGAGCGCTCATTGCCTCGATATTACAACTTCTTGCAAAACTCCCAACCCCAACCCTGGTTTTTCTTTACTATATTACATAATCTGGAGATGTCAATACATTTAAAGAAGAGACAAAGCGACTGGGGAACCAGTGATAGGATGACTTGGAATGGAATTAGGAATAATACACAGATGGGGTAAGCGCGATACTGAGAATATAAAACATACCGAGAAAGTGATAAGTAAAGAGATATATGACCACCTAAGAGAGATAAAAATAGAAGAAACTTGTGAGTTGTACAAAAGATGAAGAGACAACACGAATACAAGCAGCAGCTCTCGATCCGACTCTTTTATTTACGTTTGCTTTTTGGTAGGTGTAGATACACTCACCGTCTTTCGACGAGGTGGAAATGCATACCAGCGTAGGCCAGTGCGATAAAAGTTCCAAAGAAAACGACAAGACCCGTGACGTCGCGCCTGAACGCAGTCGTGTCGAACCCGAACGTGCTGAGGATCGTGGCGCCAGGAACTTCGATCGACAAGCCGAATTTATATTCAATCAGCGTCAGATAGCGGACTTCGTTGACCAGCATGGCTTCGAACGCGTAGTGGAAAATCGAGAGGTTTTGGATCCAGAGCGCGCTGGGCGGGATCGAGTCCTTGTTCAGAAACAGGCCGGCGAAGAGGAGACTGAAGAGCATGACGAGGATGCCAATTAAACTCGCCACACCGCTGTCTTTGATCATCACACCGATGAAGAGGCAGATCGCGGCAGACGAAAGGTTGAAAAGAATCAACACGAGGAGGAATTTGGCCATTCCGTACGACTCAAAGTTCAGCCCAACAAGCGGGTAAATGATCAATCCGAGCAGCAGTGGCGGCACCACGCGCAGCGGGATAATGTCAAACACAACCTTGGACGCAAAGTAGGCGATCGGGGTATAGAACCCGTTCGCGCGCTCGCGGACAAATATCTGGCGCTCGGATGCAAAGATGTGCAGCGTGGTCAGCGTGCTGAAACCAAACAGCGTGAGGAGGAAGAAAAATAATCCGAGTCGGTTTTGGAAGCCTGAAATGTCGTTCACGATGTCGTAGTACAGATATCCGACGAGCACTAAAACGAGTTAGAACGTAAACCAGAGAAAAAAAAAGAAGCGCAACATACCTGAAAGAACAAGAGCGATTCCGTAATGAGTGAGTAAAAGCATAGGATTACGATACAGATTCTTAAACGTTCGTCCCGAAAGAATCACAAATTGCTCCCACACGCCGATCTTTCTCGAATCGACCAAGAACGACGGGATCTCGTCTGTGTTTTCACTCGACGCGTGCAGACTCTGCTCGATCTCGGAAATGATCTGGTTCGAGATCTGCGACCGTTTGTATTCTCTCACAATCTCGACTAGATCTAGCGTCTGCGAGACTTCGGCGGTGGTTGAAGTCTCTGCGGACTCTGTCTCTGTCTCAGAATGGCCGTTTTGTTGTAACGGATGCTCGACCTCGGTATCCTCTCTTGTCGACAAACGAATCAGCTCACCGTCTTCATCCTCGCCAGACGCAGCGGTGACGGCAGACGAGCCTGAGCTGATCGGCTCTGAAGGTGGCGAGATATCATGGTACGAATGTCCGTTCTTACGACTGGCTTGCGAGGCCGTCATCGTCAAGTCGATCAAAAAGTCGGCAAGATTGAAGCCTGGGGGGCAGTCGTATCCAATTCCGGCAAAGTAAGCCTGGCACTCCGCTTCGAGACCAGAGTACACAACTTCGCCGTGCGACAGCAGCAGTAGTCGATCAAACAGCGCAACAATGTTCGAACGCGGCTGGTGGATCGTGAAGATGACGGTACGTTTGTAGTTCTGTGCCAGAGTCTTGAGACTCTCAATCACATTGTACGCGTTGAAAGAGTCCAATCCGGACGTCGGCTCGTCTAGGAAAATGATTGACGGACTAGTGACCAGTTCGCAAGCGATCGCGACTCGGCGTTTTTCTCCGCCCGAAATTCCTCGCCGGCCTTCCCATCCAATAACCTGATCTTTGATATCAATGATTCCAAGCTCATTCATAGTCTCGAGCACGCGCAGATGCTTTGCGTCACGAGACATCGTCTTTGGTAGTCTCAGCAGCGCCGAATTCAGAATAGTCTCGTACACAGTCAGAGTAGGCATCAGAGCATCTTCCTGGTCGACAAAGCCGATGATGCCCTTGAACTGATCGTCAGTCACTTTGTAGCCGTTGACTAGGATCTGGCCATCGACTCTGCCGTCCTTGTTCTTGTGGGCAAGAATGTCGAGTAGCGAGGTTTTGCCTGCGCCGGACGCACCCATGATCGCCATGATCTCTCCCGGACGAACGACACCCTGGACGCCTCGTAATACAGTCTTATCACGCACGCTGTACGACGTGTTTCGGAAAAGAAGCGTGGCGGGGGTATGTCCTGTCATGAGCTTGTATGATTCGTCTTCAGAAGGCAGCTTCACGCCGCTTGTCATATCCTGCAGCTTCCGAATGGTATACATCACACCAAACGTCACAAGTCCAATGAACCCCAAAACACTGATGATTCCAAACGCGAGCACCTTTCTGTTGAGCTTTTTCTTGGGCAGCTCGTACCCCGGAATCTCACTATAATGCATACACTCGCCACTATCGCAATGCAGAGTGATTGTCTCGTCGCCAAACACGGACTGGATGAGTTCATCCATCGCCGGTTCGGAAAACTCGCAAGAGTCAGAGGCGGAGTCGCAGGTGAAGTAGCCGGGGCCTTCGATTGCTTCGGTCAAAAAGTCTGTGATGTCGATCGAACCGTCTGCACCGCAGAGCATGCGGTCGGGGATGCACGCGCATTCGATGCTGGGGCATGCGTACATCGTTTTGTTTGAATTGGCCGTCGATTCTGAAAGAAATAATTAGATAATGGTGTTATGTATGCATGAGCTGTCGGGGGTACACATACCTGTGGAGAACTCGCACTCGTTCAACTGGCAGTAGAAACTCTCAACCTCGCCAATCCAGACTGGACAAATGTTAGTGAAAGAACCATGTAAAAACGATAGTAGGGAACGCACATTGAAAGTCACAAATCTCAGAGGTTCGGTTGCAAGTAAAAGTAACCTGGGGTAAATCTCCGTCCAAAATATCCACAATCTTGCGGTCTAGTGGTTGAAAAAAAGGGATTAGCCACAAGAATAGCTCGTACACTTCACTGGAATAGTTGATGACTTACTAGTGACGTTACACATTTGGAAATTCTGCTTGACAGTCATGCCACCCTTGTAGCATGCGCCGCCGGTGCCATCGGGCGTGAATGCGTTGCAAGAGTCGTCGGATTGGCAAACTAGACAGGATCAGGTAAGTACTAACGATACACTCGATTGTCGAACGAGATCTTAAAATACCATTGCAATTGATTCCACCCCAGCCATCGGTGCAGTCGCAAGACGGACCGTCGCGGGGCATTCGGTCGCGGCCATCTGCGAGAGATCCGCAGACTATGAGATCCCGGTTAATAAAGACAGCATCCAAAAAACACTCCAAAAACAATGAAACCCACCAGGATCAACGCAGTCCGCTCCGCCAAACCCAGCGGGACAGTCGCAAAACCCATCGTACGGTCGACAGTCGGCGAACTGGGCGCATTGGTGTGCGGGCAGTAAGCAATTGAAGCTACAATTATCACGCAAAGTCAGTCCCCGCACGACGTACAGCGATCGTCAGCCCACCCGGAAAACAAAAGAGATACGGTACCATTCGTCCGAAGCAGCGATGTGCGGACTGTTTTTGTGATTGAATATCGAGCTCATAGGAAACGAGCTATTTCGCGAGCCTGGGAAGGCAGCAATGGCGGTCGACGATCGCGCCACTGCGAGGAAGAGCACGACTAGCAGCAGGAAATCATACTGACGAGACCGCATTTCTGGCACAGCACAGAGACGGGCGCAAAAAAGTCGAAACAGCAGAGTAGATGAAGAGAAAAAGAGATGTGAGCAGGTGCTGCTCAGTCAGACCAAGGTCGCCGGACAATGACGAATGATAAGATAAGCCTGAGTGCGGGACGAAGTCGAGGAAGACTGAACAAGGGTTGGAGGTGGTTTCCAGACAAAGACTGCTGAACTGAACTGAGACTTAAAAGCGTCGAGATTGTCCAAACAGAACACCCTTTTGCTGCTAGAAGTGAAGATGTTTTGGTCTTTCGGCGGTGAACTTGATCAGTTGCCAAAGACGAACTTGGCTTTGGAGACCTCGAAGAGCTGGGCACCCAGACCGAAAGCGGTGAGCCGCTCGGGTCAGCTGCACATCATCGGGTCAGAACTTGATCCTGACCCGGGTCGACTCTTGCACTCATTACTGTAGTTGGATATATTTCTAAGATTGATTAAACTAGACATTGTCTATCAGATACTATGCTGACACTACCATTTACGATAATTACTTCGTCACTTTATATCTTCATAACAGCAAAGCGAAAGCGGACCGGCCACTGGTCGCTGAACAATCGAAAAGACAAAAGACTCCCCAATATCTTTCATTTGTATATGGTGCTTAGCCCTCACAACACTGATGCTGCAGCGCTTTACTTCTCGAAAGTGTAGTTCTCGTCGGGGATTCTTCCACGGAGAACAGGGATCTCGGTACCCTTGATGTAGACGTCCTGGAACAAAACATCGGGGCTGGCCTCAGGTGGGGGCGAGGCCTCGGCCTCGGCAACTTCCTTCTCGACGTAGGCACGGATCTCCTTGTCGACAGCCTTGAGCTCCTCCTCAGAGATAACGCCCCAGCTGGTCAGTCTGTCGCGGAGACCGGTGACGGGGTCGTGGGTCGAACGCATACGCTGGATCTCCTCACGGGTTCTGTAGGTGGTACCGGGGTCGGACATGGAGTGACCACCGTAACGGTAGGTGGAGTACTCCATAACCAAAGGTCCGTTGCCGGTGGTGGTGTACTCTCTGGCGAACGAGGAAGCAAGCTTGCAGGCAAGGACGTCCATACCGTCGACCTTCAAACCGGGAATGTACTGTCCACGCTTGTGGTACTCAGTCAAAGCCGACGATCTGGCGGCAGAGGTACCCATACCGTACTTGTTGTTCTCGCACGCAAAGACGCAGGGGAGCTTCCACAACTTGGCCATGTTGTAGGCCTCGAAGACCTGGCCCTGGTTGGCGGCACCATCACCGTAGAGGGCAAAGGTGGTGTGAGGAAGACCAAGGTAGTGCTTGGCGAATGCAAGACCGGCACCGACAGGGACCTGGGCACCGACGATTCCGTTACCGCCAAAGAAGTTGGGAGCAAAGATATGCATGGAGCCACCTGTGACAGAATTAGAAATCCGCCTGGAAAGAACTCGAAAGTGATCGGTCTACTCACCCTTTCCGAAAGAGACACCCTCGCTGCGGCCCATAAGCTCAGCAAGAATCTTCTTGACCGAGGCACCACGCATGTAGGCGAAACCGTGGCAACGGTAGGCGGTAATGACCTGGTCGTCGGGAGTGATGGCATGCTCAATGCCGACGGCAATGGCTTCCTCACCGATCGAAAGATGGCTGTGGTTATATGTTAGCTTAGACCGTTTGATAGTCGGAATGGATGTTGTTGTAATCGTACCAGCTGGAAAATGAGGTTAGCATATGTTATCACCGAAGCATGAAATCCGAAAAGTCTCAAAGGATAGAACTTACAAACCACGGATCTTCTTGGCCTTGTAAAGGGCATCGGCAGCAGTCTCCATTCGGCTAGAGAGATTGGGATGTTAGAAGAGCTCGCATGCATAATTTCTAAACAGATGCATACCGAACGGTGACCATATCCTTGTACATCTGGATCAGCTCAGCCTTGCTGGTGGTCAGCTCGTACGAGGGCAAGTCCAACATGTATGTCTCGAAAGCCTCGGCGGGGAGGGTGACGGTGAAGGGAGCGTCCATTTCCTGGAATCAGTGATGCTGTTGTTAGTTGATGCTGAACATATCGAGGAGAGCTCCCGACGAATCGAACGGCTTGCGTGTGGATTGAGATCCGAGATCTGCGAGTCCGACAAGAGCGCCGGGTCATTGCAGCCCTTCTCTCCACTGCAGCGCATTCAATCCTCTCCAAAAACAAACAAACAAAAAGTTATCGCACCTCGGGCATATGAGAAACGACCGCCTCGGTCGCCAGCGAGCGAGCAGCAAAAGGACGAGCGAGGGCTCTCGAGCCAGTCGAGGCCAGGCGGACCGACTTGAAGACAGTCGACAGCATGGTTTTTTGCAGGAATTGAGTGCAAGGAAGGAGAGGAGGTGTGATGGCGAGAGGGAGTTGGTGAAGAGAGCAGAGGAGAGGAAGAGAGGAAGAGCCAGAGGCTTTCGGGGAAAGCGGGCTGCCGGTCCGAGGCCTACGCAGAGCCGCAGTTCTCAGCCCGCGGGATGCCTGAGCCGTGCACGTGATGTTTATGCACTTGTGCCACAACAGCGGCGCGGAAGTGTGCGCCCAGCCAATCAGAGGGACGGCTCCCGATGCCACTGTGTGGGCGCGTCGGCTCGATGGTGGGGGAGCTTCCTGTTTCTTGCCATAGCGGCCGATATCTCTCTTATTGCAGTATATCTCTACAACCTCTACACCCTTCACTTCGCCGCCGTCCACGTAAGGTACACCCCCATCCTGATGTCCAGAAGCCCGTCCGCGTCCAGCTCCGGCGTCGCTTTATCCCTCAGGATCTTCTCGATCTTGGCCTTCACCACCGCCTGCTCCGACTCTGGCAGGTTCGTGATGTAGCTCTTTGTAAGCCACAGCTGGAACACGTCCTCCGGCCGCGTCTTGTAGCTCCAGTACACCGTCTCCTGCTGCAGCGGGACCTCAAACAACTCTGCCGCTTTCTCGGTCTCAAATACTTCCTTCCACCTCATGTGTCTGAACTGAGGCGCCGCATCAGGATCCTCATACGACCAGCACAGCTCTGCGACCTCATACTGCCAAACGCTGCTCTTGTCCGGCTTCGGATCAAAGTTCCACACCAGCGCCAGCTTCCCCTGCGTCTTGAGCACGCGGTGGAACTCCGCCAGCGCCTCCAAGTCTGCAAACCAATGAAACGCCTGCGCGATAAAGATCGCGTCCACAGAGTGATCTGCGACCGGGATGTCGTAGGACGAGCCCTTGAGCGCAGGAATATCCGGCAGCTTTTTCCGAAACGTCGCGAGCATGCCGTCCGAGACCTCGACCGCGGAGAGGTTGAACCCGCGGCCGGCGATGAGCTCGGTGAACTTGCCTGTTCCTGCGCCGAGGTCAATCACGTTCGCGGCCGGGGGAAGGGCGAGGTGTTTAATGAGCGCGTCGACGGCGGGTTTGTAGTGCGTCGGCCGGAACTTGTCGTAGAGCGAGTGGTTGGCGTCGAAGGCCGAGAGGGAGGTCGTGTTGACCTGCGCTTGGAGAGATGATTGCATTGAGAATAGTCGCCGCGATATACCTCTAAAACTTGCCCGAGTAGCCATAGATGCAGATGTCTGTTCTTCTTGCTAGAAGACGCAAGAAGGAAATGCCAGAGATGTAGTCAAGACGGAGTGTCAATTATAAGAAAGACATGTGGAGATGAGATCGATACCAAAACCCTGTCGATCAGTCTGACATCATCAGCTGGGAGTTTGACGACTGTCGACAGTAGAGATTCATACGATTAGCTATCCTACTTCCTACTGTATCAGCCATACTGCATTGAATTGTAGTGAAATCTACTAGCACTAGAATTGTTCATAATGTTTAGGTTACCAGAGCTGACGGCGGTCTGCAGTCGCGGATCTGGAGACTGAGGCACCGCTTGACCTCTCCTCCACGGTCATGATCCCGCGATCCTAATCCTTGTCCCAGCTCAACAGATGTTCACCTCGCTCGTATCTGACTATGCAGGGAATTTGACCTGCTCTCCGCTGCTAGTGAAAGGCCACGTGGGTGCCGAACATAATTATCAGCAAGGGCCGAGGAACAAGGACGGAACAAGGCACAACGAGCAAACAAGGCACAACGAGCAACAAGCACAACGAGCAACAACACAACGAGCCACAAGCACAAGGAGCAAGAGGAACAACGAGCGAGATGAATATATAAGGCCGGCTCTCCCCCCAATCCCCCTCTTTTTTTTTTCTTCCTCCAACATTACATTCCCACCCGTGATACTATCTTTCAACATGACAGCTTTTATCACTCACCGAGCCACCCGTATCCGCGAAGCGATCATGGCCAGAGCATTTCGACACAAGAAGGTCGAGGACGAAGACGACACCCCCAAGGGTTACTTCGCCCCCTTCTTCAGCTCTAGCTTCTGCGAGGACCGCGTCTACTTCGATTCCTGGAAGATGGTCCTCCTTCGCACGACCGCCTACCCGCACACGCTGGAGAAAGGCACCGAATATGCCACCGTGCGCGCGCTAGTTCGGTCGTCGTTCATCCCGACGCCGATTCCGCTCCGCAACGGACACTTCTCCGGCGTCGAAACCGGAACGCACTGGCTCTACACTGATCGACTGGCCCACGTTGGAGCGGCCCCTTTGCAGTACGATCAGCTCACTGAGATCTCGAATCTCTCGCACGTCCACCGGATTAACCTCAAAGGACTCGACTGGAACATCAAGATCCCTCGAATGCGCAAGGCGCAGCGGAAAGCCTGCCAGACCGTCATGCTTGCCCTGCTTGGCGAGGGAGAAAACCCGTTCACCAACGGCGACTTTGGCAAGGAGAATTTTCAAATGTTCATCGACGTCCTCGTCTCGCCCCTGTATTTCTACTGCCCGCTATACTCCAAGCGCCTAGGCCTGACCGAGCAGGACATCACCGCCTACGTCATCTTCCTCAACACGCTCAAGGACTACTTTTCGCACTACACGACGCTCGACTGCGCTCGTGAGTTTAGCGCGATCGAGAAATTGGCGGAAGTTATCTGGCTTGAAATGTTCGACGACCCGGTCCGGAGGGTTTTCGAAGCGCTCGCAAAGGACGCGCAGATGGTTTTTAAGTTGCTGATGATTGAGGATTGAGGATGAATCACCAGTCGAGGCAGCACACCCAGAGCAACATCACAGAACGGACACCACAGACAGAATATAACAGACAGAATCCCACAGAATATCACAGAAAGAACAGACAGTCCCACTCAACAAAAATTACAAAAAAACTTGAAAATCACAAAAAATCAAAAAAGAAGGCGCTTGGGAGTTGATTTTATTCTTCATTTTCTTTTACTATCCCGATACTTTTGAGAACCCACAAAATCATCTTTTTTATATTTTATATTATTCTTATCAATATTATTATTTTTATAATACTTTGCTTGTAGCGATCCTCTGTAGAGCCTGGAGAAGTCTGATGCATTTATTCTCAGCAAGGCTGATTAAGCCTCAACTCCACTGTAACTTCCTCTCTGAATAGTTGTCATAGTCGTTGATCCACCTGCCTATATCGTAGCTCTTAGAAGATCCATAATTCGAGCGTACATATCCAATCTCGTTAAAATCACCCGCAATTTTCTTCATATCTGCTTTATTGATCACTTTGCACTTTTCTGCAAGATGCGGCCAATCGTCCGAGACAGCGTCAAGCGCTTCGTTATCGGACGTATAGCTGGACTCTGCGCTTTTGACGAACGTCTAAGTATGCTCACCGACCGTGACTCTGGCCGTGTCTCCTATCTTCATATCTCGATAGTACAGATGTTTTGAAATGAGTGCACATCTCATTCTCAACGGCATAGCTGTAGCCGTTATAAACACATCCTCGCGCAGATACCAACCCATGCTCACTCAAAAACTGCCTCTCTGTACATCAACCCCCCACTCCCAGACGCCTTTATCGCAAACAATGCGTTCGCAACCACAGTCACCAAGCAATTCGCCGGCGCAGCAGTCGAGCACACGACCGCGACGGCAACAAAACTCAGTGGCCTGGGAGTGTATTCGTAACTCCAGATGGTTATTGAGAAGGTAGTCGCTAAGATGATGAGAATGACTACTGCGTAGAGTGATATGATCTTTTTCGTGGTTTTGAGGTTGGAGAGTAAGTTCCGTGAGAAGGCCATGTGGATAGATGACTTTGCTGTTGTTAGTATTATCTGTTTAAATCAGATCACGGCTATCAGTAGGAGTACAGATGTGGGGTATGGGAGACGTAACACTTACTAAGTAGTAGTGGAACACTTGTCCTATATATCCTCGGTATCGTTATATCATGATCTCATATTTGTCACCACAGTACACAGCCATCCAGCCTTGTCAAATCATGCATAGATCATCAGCTAACCCACTCTCTCAACCCAAACCATCACAAACCAGCTTCTTCATGCCCTTCCAAATCCAGTCAAATCCAGTCAATCTACACGGGTTTATAAGCGACAGACGCTGAAAATAAGTGTTGTTGATGCTTCAATGGCACAATGGCAGCGCGTAGGATTGCAGATCCCGAGGTTCCTGGTTCGAATCCGGGTTGGAGCTCACAACTCTTTTTTTTTTTTGCATTTCTAATTTTTACTACAAATAATCTATTCTTTTTATTTTTATTCATTTTGAATGTATAAAATGCGCAGAGAGTAGAAAATCTATTACTACAACGACGTAGAAATAAAGAAGAGCAGTAAAGTTTCGCGAGAGGTTAATGAGCAAATAAACTTCCGGGGACGCGTCTGAACAACCGCCGAAATAGAGTTTGGTTGCAGCAACGCGAGGACCAACGCGAGGCGGTCAGTAAGTGAAGGAAGAGAGAAAGAAGGGCAGGAAGGATAAGAATAAGCTCGTGCACGGAGGGATAGAGATAGGGTATTGATAGATCAGTGAGATTGCCAGATTACGCGTCGAAGGATAGAAAGAAGTAGTTGAGAGAGATGAGAGAGACGATTGAGGTTGTTGACGCGCCTTTACTTGCAGGGCAGGAGCCTTTACTTGCAGGCGAGGATGCGAACAAGGTGAGAAAGACAGAAGAAGAGGTGGAAGAGTATGAGGACATTGAGGTAGGCGAGGACGAAGAGCGAAAGATAGTCAACATCTACGGCGACGAGGAGGATTTTACACCCTCGCGGTGGATGGCGATGCTGGGCCAGGTGTGGGATAGCTTTGCAAAGGCGCCGAACGAGCGGCGGTATATCCAGCGGCTGGATCGGTATATACTGGTGTATGCGCTGCTGAGCTATGGGTTGAAGAGTCTGGATGTTAGTAATGTGAGCAGTGCGTTTGTGAGCGGGATGCAAGAGGATGTGAGTACTTTTAGAGTATTGCAGCTGGATATTGCTAATTGAAGTGTTGGAGTAGCTGGGATTATATGGGCAAGAAAGGAATTTGTTTGATACATTTTTCAACGTCGGGTATCTGATAGGATCGACGCCGTCGCAGGTGATTATCAACCGGATCCGGCCGTCGTTGTGGATTCCGGCATGCGAGCTGGTGTGGAGTTCGCTGGTTGTGTTTATTTCCGCAGCGCAGTCCGCGCGGACGATATACGTGATCCGGTTCTTCCTCGGTCTGTTTGAGAGCTCGTCGTATCCCGGGTTTGCGTATATCCTGGGAAGTTGGTACGGCCCCGACGAGCTGGCGAAGCGGATGGGGGTGTACGACTGCGCGGGGTACATCGCCAAGATGTTTGCCGGGTATATCCAGGCCGGGGTGTATTTCCTGCTGGACGGGGTGGGAGGGGTTGCCGGGTGGCGGTGGATGTTTGTGATTGATGGGTTGATTGGGATTCCGGTTGCGCTGTGGGGGTTCTACAGTATCCCTGATTTCCCAAACAACACGCGGGCGCGGTGGTTGAGTGCGCGGGAGCGGGAGATCAGTGTTGTGCGGGTGAAGTTGCAGGGGAAGGTGGAGCCGCGGAAGTTGACGGTGAAGCGGTTTGTGGACATGTTTTTCCGGTCGTGGCGGCCGTGGCCGTTTCTGGTATCGTACACGATGCTGTGGATCTCGGGCACGTCGAGCTACTTTAATCTGTGGTTGAAGAGTCTGGGGATATACAGTGTGGAGGAGTTGAACATCGTGCCGACGTTCGGGTACGGACTCGGGTTTTTGTCTGGGTTTTTGTTTGCGAATCTGTCGGACCGGACGCGGGCGCGGTGGCCGTGGTTGTTTCTGGCGACGGGGTTCAGGCTGACGGGCTCGGTCTTGCTCGCGATCTGGGATCTTCCGCGGCAGGTGATTTTCTTTGCAAACATGTGCAGCTATATCGGGGAGCCGGTGTGGTCGCTGCTGATTACGTGGGCGTCGGAGGAGTTTAGGGATGATGCGGAGCTGCGGGGGTTGCTGTGCGCGGTGGGGAATACGATTGGGGCCGGGTTTTCGCTGTGGTTGCCGCTGGTGCTGTTTCCGACGTACGAGGCGCCGCATTATAGGATAGGGTATAAGATGACTACGGCGTTTGATGTGGTTGATGTGTGTGCGTTGTTTGCGTTTCTGTGGTTTGCGAAGCGGGAGAGGAGGAGGGGTGTGCAGAGGTATGGGGGGGTGGAGGGAGAGATGGAGGGAGAGATGGAGATGGAGATGGAGTTGATGATGGCGAAGAGGGAGGGTGATTAGTGGTTGATTAGTCATGTCATGTGAGAGCACGTGAAAGAGAGAATGTTGTGTTGGGGCGGGAGACAATGTGGGGTGGCGAGCTTGGCGGAGGAGGGAGGAGTGGTGAATATGCATAGTTATATAGACAATACAATACAATTAGAATACTATAATGAATACAGTGCAATTCAGCAAGAAACAGGGACTATAACAATACTGAACAACAACAAAAAAGAGAGAAGAAGAGGATTGAGAAAGGTAGTTGCGAGCGCGGGTGCTTGTTGGGGAGTGTTTAGCTCATCGGACAATGGATGCTGAGTCAGGGGATGCAGCGGTCTGGCAATTGCAGGATATATATGAACATATAAAGAGTAGATAACAATAAACAGTACAGAATGCAAACAGAATAAACAGATACAGCAACAAACAGCATCAACAAGAGTTGGTGAGTCCGGACCGGCTCGCGGGCTGCAACGCGAAGGCGAAAACTGAAAACTGAATTTCTTGTCGCTGAGCTGAGCCGAGTCTTCTTCCTCTCCTCCTCCTCCTCCTCCTCCTCTCTTCTCTCCTCCTCCTCCTCCCTACTCCTATAGTATTCGCCATGGCCTCCACCGGCTCTGCCACCACCGTCGTCGAGTCCCCGAAGGTCTACAAAACCGCCCTCGGCGAAGACTTCGTCCCGCCCCAGTTCACCATCAAAGACATCCTCGACGCTATCCCCAAACACTGCTTCGAACGCTCCTTCTTCCGCTCCTTCGCCCACGTCCTCCGCGACTTTGTCTACATCGCCCTCCTCTTCTACGCCGCCACCCACATCCAGTACATCGACTCCCTTGCCCTCCGCGTCCTCTGCTGGGCCGCCTATGGCTTCGTCCAGGGCATGGTCGGCACCGGTCTCTGGGTTCTAGCCCACGAGTGCGGCCACGGCGCCTTCTCCACCTCCCGCTTCGCAAACGACACCGTCGGCTGGGTCCTCCACTCCGCCCTCTTCGTCCCCTACCACTCCTGGCGCATCTCCCACTCGAAGCACCACAAGGCCACCGGCCATCTCTCCCGCGACATGGTCTTCGTCCCAAAGTCCCAGGAGACCTACCTCATCTCCCGCGACCTCTCCGAGCTCACCGAGGAGGCCCCCATCGCCTCCCTCTACTGGCTCTTCGTCCAGCAGCTCTTTGGCTGGCCCACCTACCTCCTCACCAACGTCACCGGCCAAAAGTACCCCTCCGTGGCCAAGTGGCAGATCAACCACTACTGGCCCAACGCGCCAATCTTTGACGCCAAGGACTTTTGGGACATCATCATCTCCGACCTCGGCATCCTCACCGCCTCTGCTGTCTCGTACTTTGCCATCCAGAAGTTCGGCATCGTCAACTACGCGCTCTACTACTTCATGCCCTACCTCTGGGTCAACCACTGGCTCGTCTGCATCACCTATCTCCAGCACACCGACCCCTCCCTCCCCCACTACGAGGCCTCGGAGTGGAACTTTGCCCGTGGCGCAGCCGCCACCATCGACCGTGGCTTCCTCGGACCCATCGGCCGCCATGTCTTCCACGAGATTATCGAGACCCACGTCGCGCACCACTACTCGAGCCGCATCCCTTTCTACCATGCCGAGGAGGCCACGCAGGCCATCCGCAAGGTCATGGGCAGCCACTACCGCGTCGACCGCACAAACGTCCTTCTCGCGCTGTGGAAGGTCTGCCGTACTTGCCAGTTTGTCGAGGGCGACGGCGTTAAAATGTACCGTAACGGAAACGGTATCGGAGTGAAGCCGCAGGAGCTCGAGAGCAAGAAGAGGGCGTAGACGTCTCTTGACTTCTCTGCACTATACATATACACTCTACATTATACATCTACTCGGCTTATGTTCTCATGCGATATCAATAGAAATACATCAAATATCTTGATACATACATAATCACATAATCACTTACTCAGCGTACGCGTGCGGCTGTGCTGCAGCATAAGCGCATAGATCCGCGTGCACGGCCGGTGCAGCACCGCGTCCTCAACGCGATTCGATTGTCACCGCCTTGTTCGGCAGGTTCTTCTTCTCTTCCTCTCTTCTCTCCTCCTCTTCTATTTCCTCTTCTTATCCTTTCTTTTCTACTCTCAATGGCGCTCTCCCTCGCGGCCCTCAAATCCGCCCACTCAAAGCGCTCCGTCTTCATCTACGGCGTCTTCGTCTTCATCCTCGCGATCTGGCGCTACGCCGCTCACGGTATCACCTCCTCCCCTTCAATCCTCCCCAATTCCCCCCAATCCCCCTCTCTAACTCCCCCAGACGTCTTCGATCCCTACAAATGCTCCTCCCTCCTCACCACCGGCTCCTGGCTCAATCCCTCCGCCGATCCAGCTAAACCCCCCTCCAACTGGCAGCCCGACGGATGTCTCTACCACAGCTACAACCCCTCCGAGGCCTCCTACTGTCTCCAGAACCAGCAGGTCCTCTTCGCCGGCGACTCCACCGTCCGCCAGGTGTTTTGGGAAACCGTCAAGTCCGTCGATCCCACCATCGTCGAGTCCGCCGAGCGCCACGCTGATATCCGTTACCAAAAGAACGGCATCGACATCCAGTTCCTCTGGGACCCCTACCTCAACTCCACCGCCCTCAACCTCATCGAGTCCTGCCGCACAACCAGACACTCCCAGCCCAATGCCTACATCGTCCTCGGCGGCGGTCTCTGGTTCGCTCGCTACCTCGGCGACAACGGCGCCACCATGTGGAAATCAAACACTGACCGCATAGTCGACGGCGTCAAGGCCTGCGCCGGATTCTACAACGTGCCCTTCTTCCTCCCCGTCTCCGTCCCCGACTGGGAAAACCTCGACGAAGCCCGCAGCACCACCATCCTCAAGCCCGAAGTCACTTACATGAACTCCTACCTCGTCTGGCTCTCCCAGCAGAAAAACATCATCGTCCCCACCTCCCTCAACGAGATGATGACCCTCGGCGCCTACGACTCCAGCGGCATCCACTCCGTCGACTCCGTCGCAAAGGCAAAGGCCGGCCTCCTCCTCAACGTGCGCTGCAACCAGATCGTGCAGGAGCACAAGGGCTACCCCTACGACAAAACCTGCTGCTACACCTACCCCGGCCCCACCATGACGCAGTTCGCCATCCTCGTCTTCTCCCTCGTCATTATCCCTGCCGCCTACATCAAGTCCTCCGGCCTGCTCTCCTCCCCGCGCATGTGGTCCGAGGGCGCCACCGGCTCGGCCTTTGTCACCGCCTGCTTCATCTTCGCCACGACCCTGACTTACTGCTACGTCGCCGATCGCACTTCGCTCTTCATCAAGGCCTCCAAGCAGTTCTGGGCCGAGGACTTTGCCATCATGACCGGCCTCTCCCTTCTCCTTGGCGTCGTCACCCTCCGCAAGTCGGACAGCGAGCAGGGATTCATGGGCCGCGACCAGTCAAACGAGTGGAAGGGCTGGATGCAGATCATGGTCTTGATCTACCACATCACCGGCGCGTCAAAGGTCCTCCCCATCTACAAATACATCCGCGTCATGGTCGCCGCCTACCTCTTCATGACCGGCTACGGCCATACCATCTACTTTTACAAGAAAAATGACTTTGGCCTCAAGCGCGTCGCCAACGTCCTCGTGCGACTCAACATGCTCTCCTGCGCGCTCGCCTACAGCATGAACACCGACTACCTCTTCTACTACTTTGCGCCCTTGTCCAGCTTCTGGTTCATGACCGTCTACTTCACCATGAAGGTCCAGGCAGAGAAGAACAAGGACCTCAAGTTCCTGTCGGCCAAGATCGGAATCTCGGTCCTGATCATGAAGCTCTTCCTCTCTGTCCCTGGCATCATGGAAGTTCTCTGGTGGGTGCTCTCCCGCGTCTTCTTTGTCTCCTGGGACCTGCGCGAGTGGCGCTTCCGCGTCCTGCTCGACATGTACATCGTCTACATCGGAATGTTTGGCGCCATCGCCTCAATCAAGATCGCCGAGTTAAAACTGCTCCAGCACCCGCGATGGCCCATGACCCGCATGCTCGTGCTCGCCGGCTCGGCTCTCGCGCTCGTCGCCTACCACATCATGCAGGTCCACTGGAACTCCAAGGCCGACTACAACGCGCGCCACCCTTACATCTCGTTCCTGCCCATCCTCGGCTTCTTGTTCCTGCGTAACGCCACACACACCCTCCGCAACACATACTCAACCGCGTTCGCCTGGGTCGGTGGCTGCTCGCTCGAGACGTTCACGCTGCAGTTCCATATCTGGATGGCGGCCGATACCCGCGGACTCTTGCAGGTCGTCGGAAGCAAACATCGCACGCTCAACCTCATCATCCTCACGCCGCTCTTCTTGCTTGTCTCGAACCTCACCAGCGAGGCCACTGGTAAGCTTACCAGCGCGCTCGTCAACGGTCTTCAGACCAAGAAGAAGCCTGCTGCTGCTGCTGCTGCTGCTGCTGCGAGCGAGGCGACGACCGTTGTTGTCGCGGCTCCGGAGCAGATTACCACTGCGCCCAGCGAGCCTGCGGTCGCGAGCGAGGATCTCGAGAAGCTTGCTGCCGCCAAGGCCGAACCCGGCCTACCTGTCGTCGAACCCAAGGACGAACCCAAGGACGAGTCTACGACAGTGACCGAGAGCGCCGTGTCCGCAGATTCAATCACTGCCGCTGCCACCCCCGGCTCGACTGACGCCGCGGGCACAGACGACGCGGAGAAAGGCGGCGTGTTTGGAAGTAACGGCAACACGACGACGACGAGCGAGGTGCTTCGTCGGACGAACGAGTTTGTGGCGATGATTGCGCAGCATCCTGCGTTGGAGGAGGTGTACTCCGTCATGGGCGACATGCGCATGAGATTGCTTACCCTCCTGATTCTGATGTGGGCTGTTAATGTCGGGAGTGCAATGTCGATGTTTTAAAAGGAGAGAGAGTGTAGAGTAGATGGGGTTATTTATTTATTACATTTATTTATATCTTGTTCATTTGTTTAATCTTTTGAAATTCATCAATGGTCGGTATTTTGATTGATTATCTTTTTTGATTATTTACTAGTTTATTTTGTGCATAGAAGTCAATCAACGATTACTCTTCTTACTCTATACGTCACAAAAGCGTAGTGACTCGAGACGTTTACTTTGTAGAAAAGCTGATAGTTATATTATATTGTAGATCGAGCAACTATTCAAGTATAAGAGGGGACGTGTCGGTAGCTGCCACCTCGCGCGTGATCTGCTCCCTGATTTCGAGATCATCTTCCGTCGTCACCATCTCTGTTCCCTCCTCTCCCCCCTCCTCCTCCTCCCCACGAGCTCTCTCTTCTTCTTCTTCAGCAGCAGCAGCAGCAGCAGCATTCCTTGCAGCAAGCCTTTCCTCGCGCTCTCGGATCCTGCGCAACCGCAACTCATCTAAATGCACCTCATGCCGATGCCACGTATCATACACCGCCGGCACGAGCGTGCCGATGAAAATCACCACCGCGCGCTCGACTTCCGACAAGCACGAGATTATGAACCCGCGGACACCGCCTCGCGCGGGCGGAAGGGGGGGTGTGGCGGCGTCGTCGGAGTCGTCGGAGTCGAGGGTCGGGTCTGGGCGGAGGAAGATGCGGTAGAGGGAGCCGAGGAAACCGGGTGCGGATCTTAGGTTTCTGAGGTGTTGGAATCGGTTTGTGCTGGTGCTGTTGTTGTTGTTGTCGTTGTTGTTGTTGTTGTTGTTGTTGTTGTTGTTGTTGTTGTTGTTGTTGTTGTTGTTGTTGTTGTTGTTGTTGCTGTTGTCGTTTTCGGTGTTGTTGTTGTTGTTGTTTTGGTTGTGGTTGTCCGCGGGATTTGCTGCCTGCGGTTGCCGTTGTCGCTGAAACACGTTCCGCTGCAAAAGCCCCGCCAAAGCCTGCAACCGCCACGCAAACACAGTAACCGCGATCGCCGTCAACGTCCAGAACCTCGACCCGCCCATGTCGTCGGAAAACATGTAGACAAAGAAAATGAGCCGGAGAAAGAGCCATGCGAGCGCGAGCGTGTTGCGCAGACGCGCGCCGTTGTTGCGAAGGTCGGTGAGCGAGGCGCGCAGGAGGGCGAGGATGTCGCGGAATGTGAAGGTGTTGTTTGGGTTGTTGAGCGTGTTTGTCGCTGCTGCTGCGGCGGCGGCGGCGGCGGCGGTGGTGGTGGGATGGTGGTGGAGGGGGTGGGTGCGGGTGTCGAATTGGGAGTTGACGAGGGCGGCGAAGATGGACGCGCCGCCGTCGGGGGTAGCAGGCGCGCCGGAGCTGAAGAACTCGTTGATCTCGGGGTTGGCGTAGAGCACGCCCGGGACTCTATCCGCCACGAGTCCCGGCGCGATCGCGATTCCTGCCGCGAGGAAATTGGCGATAGCTTGCGGCGAGAGCAGCATTGCGAGCGCGCCAGACGGCGTGACGACCGCGACGGCGGTGGAGGGGTCGATGAACGGAACCGCGGCGCGCGGGTCTTGGTATACGACGATGTTTGTGCCGAACGGGGGCGGCGGGGAGGGGATTGCGGGTATTGTTTGCGTGGTGACGGTGGTGGCGCCGTAGAGGACCTGGGGATTTGCGGTGGCGGATGTGAATTGCGGAGCTGTGCTTGCGGTCGTGGGGGGGATTTGGGTGGAGTGGTGGTCCGGGGAGGGGGATGTAGATGAGGGAGAGGCGAGGGAGGAGTGAGGTCGGTCTCGGGGCTCGTAGGCGCGGATGAGTTCGTCTGCGATTGATGGTTTGAGAATCATGTGGAAAGTGACTGCGTCGTCCTGTTGAACATCGTCAGTATGCTGCTTATTCTCCAGATCAAATACCGATATACAGAAAACAGACCTCTCTGACCACTTCACCCAGCACCCAATCATCCTTCATAAACCGTCCCTGGAAAATAATTCTCATAACCCGATCCCCACGCACATCCCCGAGCAACTCCGCGTTCACGCTCTCGATCTCGGGCGTATACACCCCCGACGTCCACGGCTCGCCCGTGGCAAACAACAGCGCGTCCTGCAAATTCGACGCAATCTTCCGCTTCACCTGCTCGATCGTCGCCGTCGACGGCAGCACGAGCTCGAGCGACGAGCTCAGCGCGTGGGGGAGCGCGGCGGGGGTCGTGATGCGGAGAGAGATCTCGCGCGGCGAGACCGGTCGGGCTGCTGCGTCCGCCATTGTGTTCTTCTCTGTTCTTTTCTAAGTAGTGGTCTCTGTCCAGTGTCGAGATGACAGAGAGAGCTGGCGCCGTCCTCGTTTGCTCTTTACGCGCTGGTGGGTGAAGATGAAGATGCTGATTACGCGAACGTGGCCAGATAACTAGAGAGGAGTGGATTAAAGTTTCAAGATGAGTAAGCGATGACATAATGATACGAGAAAAGAAAAAAAGTGAAAGCCGTCATCCGATTAGTTTTTGAGCGGCCGAGAAAGTCTTGCTTGTTGTGTTTTCTCGAGAGAACGCGATTAGTGTTGTTTCCTTGCATAGTTATTTGTGCATTTGGATAGTTGACTCTTGTTGAGTTAGTTGAATTGTTTCTTTTGTTTGCGGACGGAGAAGGCAATTGCGACTTGTCTTGTAACGACTTGTCTTGTAACGAACGGAAAAGAGAGAGACTGACGAGAAGAGATAGACGGCAAGATGGCGCACTGCAGGGTTCGAGTTCGTCCGTACAGCGCGCGACAGATTGCCAGGGTCGGGCGGAGAGATGAATGTGTTGCGGGCGGGATGAGGACGTACACGTCGCTGACGCGAGGATCAACGCGGGCTGCTGTCTCTGGATTTTCGATGGTTGCAGGCAAGAGACCGGTGGTGAAGTCGCGAGCGAGGATGGGCGAGAAGAATGGTGTGATGGTGATGGGATCCCGAGGGTTTATTCTGACGCCGTTTAAGTGGATTCTTGGATTCTACGAGGGCAAGACGAAGAAAGAGGGCGAAGAGCCTACGTTTGAGAATCGGTTTCATCCGTGGGATGAGTCGCCCGCGCCTGCGCTGCGGAACCGGGCGGCGGCGATCAAGGAGATGGCAAAGTGTCCAGTGACGGGGTTGTCGATCGAATTCACGTGTCCGAACTGCGGAATTCCGACGCACCACGACGAGAAGAGCTGGGAGTCCGACAAGCATCATCACGAGGACGTGTGTGAGAAGCTGATGCTCGGCAACATTTACGAGCACGACATCCGGTCCGGTCGGGAGTTTCCCGAGTTTGATTTGCCGCCTGCGCAGACGAATGAGGTGTTGGTGAATTTCATGAACTGGGATAATTTTCTGTACACGCGGGATTTCCATTCGATGGACACGGATTTCGAGCTCGCGAACGCGACGAAGGTGTTGACGTACCCGGTCACGATCGCGAGTGTGATGCATCAGCAGTCGCCTCATACGCTGGCGTCGAAGCGGTTGACGATCGAGGGATTGAAGACGCTCGCCGGTGAGTTTTAGTGTCTGATTGTTTGTTTGTTGAGTTGCTAATTACTGTTTTTTGGTGCAGCCCTGAGATATACATTATTCCCCGCGACTCCTCACGCTCGAGCAGGATCGAATATCGGAGGCGAGAGCGTGTACGAAGGCCAGCCTATGCGGATATTCATTCTCGGCGCGCGATCGGAGGCGCAGTTGCCGGGCCAAGTGTGGAGACAGATGCTGTTTGTGTTCAACCGGCCAAACATGCACATCCACTTCATCGGCCCCGAGGCACTGTATGATCGCCGCAAGAAGCAGTATGTTTACTCGCCTAGGGCGGTGCATCACCGCGTTGCGCCGAATCTTGCGGTCTCGTACCATTCGGATTATTTCCATGTTGTGCACGAGTCGCAGACGTTTACGCCGTACGATCCCTACTACGATGTATTTTTCCTGTTCCACCCTGGCTTAGGTGCCCCCGAGGCGATGGACCAGTGGGAAAAGTCGCTGCCGGCGCTGCTGGAGACCAAGTGCGGAGTGTTTGTGACTGGCTTCCACGAGGCGGATTCGAAGCGGGACTGGGAGTGGGTGAACGAGAAGTTTGGCGAGGAGCTGGACGTGCTGTTGCAGCCCGGGCATAACCCGTTCCAGAGCCAAAAGTGGGAGATCAACGATATGCAGCCGGATGACCCGTATCAGGTCAATCAGCAGATCTTTGGCATCCGCGGGAAGCGATATCCCGCGGTCTTCCATAGTTACAGCACGTAGTTGATATTTACTTCATAGTAGTTGTTGTTGTTGTTTTGATTATTTACATATTTTTGTATTTTTCTCTAGTTGTTTGTGTACATACGAGGTGTATCTCCGCTTGTAACCTTTTGTATATAAGTTTAGGAAGAGAGAAAATAACGTATAGACATCCGAACCCCAACCTGTCACTTTCAGTTTCTCCCAATGTTTATTTACTTTATTTACTCCTGCCCGCTTTGTTTACTTCTTTTTCCACACCGATCCCAGATCAACAACACTACAGAATAAAAAGAGAAAAATAGGATAAATGGGACCTAAGAAATTTAATAACAACAAACGGAGATTCGGCGCAGCAGCAGGAGAAGAGGACGAGACTAATATGCAGAGTATTCTCGAGATCGACGTGAGTTGTTTATCTTTCTACTCGAATTTTCTGCAATGCAGTCAGCCCTCCGCCCGCCAGACGCAGTCCGTGCTGGGCTGATTACTGGATTTAGAAAACTGATTTGATTTTTGAGCAGCTCGGTCACAAGAAACGACTTCATGTGCGGGAATTTAAGGGCGCGACGCTGGTTGATATTCGGGAGTATTATACAAAGGCGGATGCGCCGGATACGTGGCTTCCGGGGAAGAAGGTGAGCTTTTAATATATTTTTTATAAATTTATAAAGAGAGATGGAGGCTGAGATAGGGTGGATATAGGGCATTAGTTTGTCGGTGGATGTGTGGAATGAGGTGGTGAAGAATATTGAGAAAGTGAACGAGGCGATCGGCAAGATTGAGCCGGCGAAGAAGGCAAAGGTCGATGACGAGGAGGCTGGGGAGAAACACGAAGATGAGGAGGAGTAGTAGTGAGGTGATTTGGTGTTTATCAGTTTACTTTAATGGAATCACCAGTCCAGACATGTTATGTTTTATTTATAGCGCGGGGACAGGCAGGTCTGAAACGAAGCAGTAACCGGAAGCGGATATTCTAGCGGCGGCAACGGCGGTGTCAGAAGCAGAGCGGAGAGCAGGAGCTAGAACGGACCGGGTCGGCGAGGGCGAGCGAGCAGATGCGGCAGGAAGGCGGCCTGAATAGGAATCGGCGGACCGGACGTAGGTTGGTGAGAATTGTGAGTCGGTGGTTAGGTGGTACGAGGAGGAGGAGGAGCGCAGCGCGGCCGCAGCATGTGACGAGGATGCATGACAGTAGCAGAGCGGTGTTGAGTGTTGTGTAGTAAATAAGAGCATTGATGCAATTGAATATACAGAGATCAATTGATATACAAGAACAACAAAAAATACAGAATACAAAAGACAAGAACAGAGAGAAGAGGAGAACAGAGAAAAGGTACGTTGAGGCCAAACGAACAAACTTTGCTTTTTGGTGCTTTTTTTTTAGAATTAACTTAGACTGCCTAATCGGGATTATCGCTGCTGCTCTGCTGCTCTGCTTCTCGCATTCCGCTGCAGCCATCGCTGCTGCAGCACTGTGACTCTTTTGTTTGTTGATGTTCCTGTTTGTTCTTGCTGTTCTCTTGTTTGTTTGTTGTTTGTTGTTTGTTGACAGTGTGTTGAGCGAGTTGACAGTATTGCGCTGATTGAGGGAACCGAGAGGCCGACCCAGGGCTGGCGACGCGGACAGACCGGGATTTCGTGGTAAATATAGAAACAGCAGCATTGTGATCCTTCCTCCGCTCTTCTTCTGCTCTCACCGCTGCCTCTTCTTCTGCTTCTGAAACCTCTCTTCTTCCACTCAGTCGCCCTTATCTCTTCCTCAGCACTCAGATCAACCATTTCCGGCTGCCCGCCCAACCCGAGTCCAAGCATCGCGATGTACGACTGCGTCATTAAGCTTTAGTAACTCACACTAGCGCCCACTAGCGTCAGGCACAGGAACTCTATTCCGTACCTGCGAACATCTGTACGTCATCCTCTGTTTCTGTTCCCGTACCTTCTCGATATTTCTCTGATCGTCTCAATTGTGTTGTAATTTGTATTCTGTAGTTGTAGCTGTAGTGTGTGTATATATCTACAAAAAAATACACATTGCTATCTAATCTCTAATAAAAGAACCAGGGCAATTGAAGAGAGTGAGAGTGAAGAGATCGGGAAAGGCTGCCCGACAGCCCGGGTTGGCTCGACAACCGCAAATCCTCTCACCGATCACAGCCTCCGTCCTCGTCCTCGTCTTCAATTTATTTATAAAAAGCCCCCGTCCGCCTCCTCCTCCTCCTCCTCCTCCTCTCTCTCATCAACATCCTCCTCTTCCCTCTCTCCATCATGTACACCAGATCTGTGCTCCTCGCGGCCTCGGCCTCCCTCGCGGCCCTCGCTGCTGCTGACTCCTGCCTGCCCACCTCCGCCTTCTCCCTCACCACCTCCGAGGGCGGTCTCTCGCAGATCTACGACGGCCAGGTCCGCACCGGCCTCTCCCTCGGCCAGATCTACGACGGCCAGGTCAGAACCGGCAACGACACCTCCTGCCTCACCCTCGTCGCCTCCTCCAACGGCACCCTCTCCGTAAGTCCATCCTTCTTCCTCTCTCACTTTTCCCGGCCTTACTAACTCTCCCCTAGGACATCACTGGCAGACCATGCTACGTCACTCCCTACCACCAGTTCGAGTGCACTGCCGCTCTCCAGGACAACGCTACCCCCTACGGCTTCTGCGTCGAGAGCGGTCTCCTCACCTACGAGGGCAACTCCACCTTCTACGCCTGCGACACCGGTGTCGATGACCAGGCTAACATCTACGTCGAGGAGATCTCCGCCCCGGCTTGCACTGCCATCAACCTCATTGTCGGTTCCGAGAACTGCGGAACCTGCACCGCCTCCACCGTCGTCTCTACCGTCGTCTCCACTGTCGCTGCTACCGTCACCGAGACCACTGCCGAGACCGTCACTGTCTCCGGTGCTGGTGAGACTGTTACCGTTACTGGTGCTGGCGAGACCGTCACTGTCGCCGAGACTGAGACTTCTGAGGTTACCGTCACTGCCGTTGGCTCGACCGTCGTCACTCCCTCGACTGTCTACGCTACCGTGACTGCCACTGCCACTGCTACCGTGACCAAGACCGAGTACGACACTGCCATCACCACTGCGATTGCTGCCACCACTGTCGTCGAGGAGTCGACTGTCGTTGCCCCTACTACTGTTGTTGAGGAGTCGACTGTTGTTGCCCCCACTACCGTCGTTGAGGAGTCGACTGTTGTTGCCCCTACTACTGTTGTTGAGGAGTCGACTGTTGTTGCCCCCACTACCGTCGTTGAGGAGTCGACTGTTGTTGCTCCTACTACCGTCGTTGAGGAGTCGACTGTTGTTGCTCCGACCACCATCGTCGAGGAGTCCACCGTCGTTGCCCCTACCACAATCGTCGAGAAGTCGACTGTTGTTGCTCCTACCACTGCCACCGCGGTTGTGACCACCACCAGCACTCCTACCACCCTTTCGTCGTCGACCACTTCTGAGGTCTCGTCGAGCGCTTCGTCTGTTTGCACTCCTTCGACTTCGATCTACCCCAACCTGATTGTTCCCATCAACTCTGAGACCCCCGACACTGCTCTCGGAACTGGATACTGGGCCAACATCACCAAGTCGGACAGCGAGGAGCAGGATGTCTTGCTTGAGTTTGACATTTCGAGCGAGTACACTGGTACCTGCGAGCTCAAGTTCATGTTCCCTGATGACATTATTACTTTCCCGTTCGTTCTTGAGGGCGACACCTCTGTTGAGGTGTACGAGCTTACCAGCCAGGTTACCGAGTCTGACACCTGGAACGACCACCCGGCCACTGGCGACTTGCTTGCGACTGTTGACTTGGTTCGTGGAGGATACGCTTACTCGCCTACGTTCAAGTGCAATGCTGGCTCGTACAACGCGTACTTGCTCAAGTGCACTGGCGACTGTGTTGTTGAGTACTTTATCGACTACAACCCTCCCCCTGTTGGAACTGTGATCACTCCTTGCGCTTAAGCGTAGATGTGAGGAACGGTGAGGAAAGTTGAAAAGAAAAAGATTAAGTGAAGGATGAGCAGGATGAAAAGTATGAAGTGATTATATTATTACCCGATGCTCTTGCTATTACCATCATTATCATTTGAGTCGGCATCTAGTGCTGTTTAATGTGTTTTTTATTACGGGTCATTGTGTGTTTTGCTACAGGTGTACTAATAATTTTGGATGTTCAATAAATTATTGCGATAAATATAGAAGAGAAGTAGATAATTTTTCATGGTACGATGACTGTGAGTTGGAGGTCAACTTTGTTTGGAGGATGTCTCATGACTCGTATTTCGTATTTTTTCTACTTTACTTCTACTTCTACTCAAGTTGATCACAGAGAGAAGAGAAGAAGTGGTAATGATAGACAGTAATGAAAAGCACAGATCTCTACTCACTCTCACTCACTCACTCACTCACTCACTCTCACTCTCACTCTATCGGCAACTATTGCTAAGAGCAACAGCAAGAGCAAGAAAGAGCAAGAAAGAGCAAAGGCCCGAAGGCTGCCTGCTATTAATAGTCCGCACTTTATTCCGCGCCGACCGGGGTTTGCGTTCAGCAGTGACGCCGCGTACAGCAGGTGTCTGTAGATTTTCTGTTTCTGCTACACGGAGACTTCTTGGGTTTTACGGCGACGCGCGGACGGAGGAGGATTAAGAAAAGGAAAAAAAGAGGAGGAGGATGAAGGCGAGTGGGGCGGTTGACTCGAAGCTGGTTGTTTCGACTGGGGGCGGATGATCTCTATCTTGTGACTGGCGCTGGGTCTGGCTCTGGATGGGGCGATCGATGGAGCCTCGGCTTATGCTTATCGCTGTGCTGTGCATGAGATCGATGGTGCTGGGCTGTAATAGTGATTACTGATGGATGATAGTTGCTACATGGAATACTGAGAAGAATAAGACAGCGACTAGTAACCCCCGTAAGACACTACCAAACGAAAGAGCAAGCAAAGCAGAAACGAGAGCAGAAAAAGGTACAGCGACCGCTTTAGTTTTAGTTGACCGAGTGAGCGAATTAGGTAACCGCGAAGCAAGGGGGTGTCTCTCACTAAACTACGCTCTGTGACTTTTTCTCCTTCACTAAACCGAAAACTGGTCAATCTAATCGCCGCGCTGCCCTGCTCTTACGCAAGTGTCTGTTAAGGTTCGGACGTTCGTTTCGGACGCTGTGATTCAAGTCAACGTACCTCTTCTGCTTTTCTTTCTTTCTGACCCGGCGATGGTCTGCTGATCGTGAGCAGTGCTGGACAGAAGCGTGCGCATGAGAGAGGAAGAGGGAAAGAGGACGGGAAGCGAGAGGGGAGGGTAATGTATTTCCTAATTGAGATAATTGATTAATCTCTTTTCCTCTTTGGACCAGTTATTGCTTTTTTGGGATGAGCGGAGATCGAGGTTATAAGAAAGATAAAGGTGACTATAAGAGAAGGTGAAGAGTTTTACAGATCTCAATATCTAATTATCCTCTGGTCTTTTTGACTGGAAGTGTTGTTGTTCTGTTATGTAGGGTCTTTGAGTCGTTCACTGCGAGGTCAATACAGCAGCCGTCAAGCAGCAACATCTACACCATTCTAGACTACAAAGAAAAAACCTCACCTCATCCACACCAAACAAACACCAAACACAAACAAATAAACCCACGCAATCTCCACTTCTGATAGTCTTTATCTCACAACCTCATATATGGCTAAAACCAAAAATAAGTCCATTCAAGCCTGGCTAGCTCAATTGGCAGAGCGTGAGACTCTTAAGTTCCTCTCGAAGGTATCTCAAGGTTGGGGGTTCGAGACCCCCGTTAGGCTTCTTTTTTGCTATTTTTTTTGCTGAATTTTTGCATAGTTTATATTTGGGCATCGTTCTTTGGTGTAGAGAGGTGGTTTAGGTGGAAAGAGCGGTGGTGGGGGTGGATTTACGGTGGATCTATGTAGTTCTCATTTCTAACGGTATATTACTTTTCCTACCTATGCCAAACAAACACACTGCTAATATACACTAATGACTCTGGATCAGCATCTCCAGCATGCCCTCCAACTTTTGCGCCTCCTTCGCCAACTCAATCTGCCTCTTCAACCTCCGCTCAAACTCCCGCACAAGCTCCTCCAACACCGGGCTCTTCTCAATCACCGCCGCGTACATATCCGCAATCACAGCGATCCAGTCCGCCACCACCGACACGTTCCGGAAGTCGTCGATCGTGCGGACCGCCCACTTCAAGATCGGCTCGAGCTGGCCTTCGTCCCGACCTGACAGACTGACGCGCACTTTTCCCCGGAACTTGAGCTCCTCCAGCACCGTCACCGTCACCTCCGGCCCCGTGCCCGGCATGAACGCCGCGTCGAGCGCCTCGCCCCATCGAAACGCGTTTATGCGTTTCTCGTACAGTGGTGTTTTTCCCCCGCGGCGACGGCTCGCGTTCGTGCTGGTACTGCTGTTTTGTTTGTCGTCGAGCAAGATCTCGCGCTCGTGCTCGCCCTTGTACTCCCCTCCTCGCTGCATGCGCGCGACAGTCGCCGACTTTTTGCTCGTCTTGACGCCCTGCTTGACGCGGGGCTCGGTCTTGCGCGTGCGGATCGAGAGCACGCCGGAAGATAGACCGGTGACAAAGTGTTTTTGATCGGGTGAGACCGCGGTCGAGAGCACGGCGTCGCCGAATTTCCAGCCGAATTTGAACTCCCAGCTCGAGCGATCGAATACCTTGACGTGGCCGTCTAGCGCGCCCGCGATGATTGTGTTGTCGCCGCTCGCGTTCGTGCTGCTGCCGCCGAGCGAGAGCGAGGTGACTGTTTTTTGAAAGTTGCCGAGGTCTTTAACCATCTTGCCTGCCACCAAGTCCCAGACTTTGATCGAGGGTCCTCCTGCCGAGAGCACGGTCGTGGATGTGAGCGGCAAGACGGCCTCGACCGGTGCGTTGTGCGAGAGCGAGAGCGATGGCGAGTCCGGCGCGCGCGCGTCAAAGATCCGCACGACGCCGTCGTAGCAGCCCGTCACGACCGCGTCCGACGCCGGCGAGAGGAAACTCGCGGTGCGGACGTAGTCCGTGTGTGAGGAGAACACGCTCGTTGGCTCGGAGGACGCAATGTCCCATAGTCTTACAGAGCGATCGTCCGACGCCGACAGCAGCGTCGTCAGGCTCTTTGGATGGAATTTCGTGACGTGCGTCGCGAGATGGGTCGGATTGAGCGTGAGCAGGATCGCGCGGGAGTTTGCGTCAAAGACTTGAACAAGACCTGAAGCATCTCCAGCCACGAGCAACTTGCCGTCTGGGCGAAACTCTCCAGAGTACGCAATCTCCTTGAACCGCGCGATCGTGCGAATCACTTGCCGCGTCTTGGACGAAAAGATCTGGATCCGCGCGCCGGAAGTTACTGCGAAATCGTGCGATCCCGAGGGACAAAAGTTGATGTGTAGGATCGAGCCATGTTCTTTGACTATTAGAGGGTTCTGCGGTAGCTCATTAGTACTTGTACTGACTGATAAACAAAAGATGAGGATGATCATACTCGGTATGCACGCCAGAATCGCTGCTCGGGCGTAGTTTGCGACGGAAGCACCGCATTCTGCACAAGCGGTATCCGCTGTAGAGGAGCCGACATATCTCTCTTCTTCTTCTTCTTCTTCTTCTTCTGTAGACTGGAATCTCACAATCTTCGTCGTCGTACTGTTTCTCTTTCTTCCTCTCTCTGACGAGTTTTCTGATATTTTTTTTTCTTTTCTCTGCGGACTTGAATTTGGGAGTTTGAAAAAGATGCAAACTTTATTTGTTGCTCGTTTGGGCTGGGACCTAACCCTGGATCATTTGTCGTCGCGCTCACTTTTAAGCAGAGAGAGAGAGAGAGAGAGAGAGAGAAGTTAGATTGAAGTTGGAGAAGGGAAGGGATTGCAGCAGCTGAACGAGATAAAATGAGTGCATTAAAGTATCCTTATCTGATTTCAAAGTAGGGAATAGTTGAAGTTTGAGAAAAGGCATTGAAAACAGAGCTAACAGAAGGAATTTATACAGAGTCGCGGACCCGATCTTTGGAATCTTCGTCGGCGCGGCCGCGTTCTACCTCTACGAACGACGCGACGACAGGGAGCAAGAACACACGCTATACTACCTTGCGCAGAAGCGGTTCGCAAAGGTGAAGAAGGACGATAACGCTGTTGATGCGGGATTGACTGCGACGCAGCGCGAGCGGCGGATTGCGGAGGCGGCTGCGTTTGAGAACTCTGCAAAGTGAGGATGAGGAAGATGAAGAAGATGAAGATGAGTGTTTAGTATGGCGTTATCTGGTTGATTTGTATATAATCTATGAGTTGCTCCAGTTAGGAAATAGGATTTGCATAATCGTGCAACAAACAATCTCAAGTGCGGGGCCGAGGAGAAACTGTGATTTTGTGCGACCAGCTCAGGTATAAAACTCCTGCTCGACGCCTGCCCCATCCACCTCCGCGCCTGCCCTTCTCTCCTCTACCGACTACAAACCATGAACGCAGTCACTTTCCCGGACTTGGAGACCATCTCTCCGTATCCCTCGTCTGCAAATAACATATATGATCACCATCATCATCCCAGCGACAGCCAGGACACCCACCCGCTAACCCTCCGCGTATTCTCAAACCTGCTCGGTCTCAGCATCGCCTCTGTCGTCTTCATCTTCGCCTCCGTCGTCATCCTCGTCGTCGGCCTCGTCGTCATCGCGCTGCTCGTCGCCGCGCTGCTCTGCGCGGCCGCAAGCAGACGCATTGAGTTCGGCGGAGGGAGTTCGATCGAGGCAAATCACAGGATGCACGTTGCAGGAAAACAGTCGAGTATGCAGAAATTGATGACAGAAAGCGCGGGCTCGATCATGATCATCAGCGAGTCTGATGTGATCCCAGACTACGCCATCGGCAACCCATCTCTCCGACACGGCTTCTCCCTCCGTCGCTCCAAGACCGGCTCCATCAATAAACCAAACAGCATCTCAGACTCAAAGCCGTATTACTACAGCGAGCTCCTGGTCAGAGAACAAAACAGGATCTATCTAGAACGAATGCGTCATCAAACCGCTACCGCCGCCGCTGCTGCTACCGCCGTCTCGTGCCTTGCGCTCTGGCTGTTGAATAAGCGGCTGATGAGGTATTTCTTGGATATCCGCGGCAGCAAGATCAGTGTGGTGTTCAACAAATTTGTGGTCTCGAGGAAGAAGATGAATACTATGAGTTTGGGCAGTGGGAGAGGTGAAAAGTAATTGTATATAGACCAGTTTTGCAGGATCTCTGTCTTCGCCCGCAACGGCCCTCAATAAAAGCACTTTGTTCATTCAATCACTACAGACACAGCAGACAGCAAACAGCAACAGCACCCCAGGGCGCAGCCAAGGATCCCTGACGATCAGACGGGGCTTAGTATTTTCGTCGCAAGACTCCGCCGCCGCAGCCGTGCGTACAGACGGCTCGAATCTTGGTGCAGGCTTCGATTCACGTGCTCGCTAGATTTATCTTAAAACCCAAACGGACTCCGTTCCCGTCTCGATTGCGTTTGTTCGCACTTGCTTGCTTCATTCATCTTTACGTCTTTCTTGTGTCTAGACGTCTTTTCTGTTCCTTGCGAGCGCATTGAATCGCGAACGTGAGACGATCGTTAGAATGACAAGTCTGCTCATCATGAACCCTCACACCCATCATCTCCCTCATCACACCCACCCCGCCGACACACCCGCCGCCGCCCCGCACCGTCGCCACATCCGCACGCTCTCCGAGGCGGCGGTAAGCACGACATCTACCGCGCCGCCGGGCACCTGGCGCCGGACGCACGGCCGCGAGAGTAGCATGTCGTTCATGCGTACGTCCACGATCGGGCTGGCGACGTCCGGGGGCGGCGTCGGCGGCGGGCCGATGTATCTGACTGCGGCGGAGAAACTTGCTGGTGCGAGAGAGGCGGGCGGGGATGAGATGTTGCTTGGGCGGCGGTGGAGCGAGAGGAGTGGGGATAGCTACAGCAGCAGTAGTAGCAGCAGCAGCAGTGGGAGTGGGAGTAGTAGCGGAAGCGGGCGACAGTGGTTTGCGGAGCCGGCGGACGACGGACTTCCAGAGGACTTGGCGAAAGCGATTTTGTTTTTCAAGAAATCAGAGGTACGCACGGGACATACCGAGCGGATCTACCATCTCTGTTCGCGCACGATGGTAGCCTACGGATCATCGCGGCGGATCTCTGCGGTGGCGCGACGACGCGATGACTGTAAAGCAAGCGACGAGGATGGTGCTCAGACGAACGAGAAGATTCCTGATGATCTGGTGAGGTTGCAGAACCTGTTTGATTGGCGCCGCGAGCAGAGGTTGAAAGTCGACTGGTTCCTGTTTGCCGCGCATCTACACTCGCATCCCGACGCTGCTCTCTGCTTAACCCCAGACCCGTCAACCCCATCGCCGACGACCCCGATCAAGTTCGCGCCCTGGCTGTGCCCCGTCCCACGTACCTTCAAAGTCGAAAAAATCGTCACAAAACTCTTCGCCTACCTCCCCGAACTACAACAAGAACTCCGCCCCGCCACCTCTTCCTCCTCCTCCTCCTCCTCCTCCGCCGACGACCACCGCGCGTTCCCCCTCGACGCGCGCTACCTCGAGTACCGCGAACCGATCCTCCACCTCGCCAAACGCATCGCCGACCGCGAGCTCGAGCTCGAGTCCGTCGTCGAACTCGTGCGGGAGAAGCACGCGTTCGCGTTCGGCGTGCTCTCAGATGAGAGTTTGCAGACCATGGCTGAGCAGCTGCGCATGCTCGGGCGGAGAGATTATGAGGATGAGCTGTGGCAGCGGCGGAGGGGTTAGAATTCTGCTCTCTTTTTTTGTTGTATTGCGGTTCAGGCTTGGAGTGGGTGTATATACTCTTTGGAGTGGGTTTGCAACGGAGTCTAGGAAACCTCGGCGTCTTGATCTGCCTTTTTGCTTTGCTTATTTGTTTCTGTTTTTTCTTGTGTCGTTCTATGTTTATAAAGATGGGCGGTAGGAGTATGGGGTATAGATGGTATACATTGATACAGAGCGAGTATAGATGGGGTTCAGATTCTTGTATTATATCGAAACGTCCTATATCATCTCTCTTTATTTTCTTATCTCCACATCCCCAGAACGAGCCACAACCAATCCACCCCTCCACCAGTCCTACAACCACAACCTACTCCAAACAACAACTCACCAAAAAAAAAATTCAAGAAAACAGAGTAAAAAAAAAATGGTGACAACCCTGGGATTCGAACCCAGGCCTCCGAAGAGATGAGAACCTTAATCTCACGCCTTAGACCAACTCGGCCAGATTGCCTCATTTTGACTTAAAAAAATACACTGGCATTTATAAAACCCATGTACTTCTGCGATTTCTGTGTGTTTTAGGCGTGTGCTTGGGGAGATTGAGGGGCGTGAGGGGTGGGATGGGAGGGGAGGCGGATAGGAGAGTGGGAGGAGATGTGTGGAGGGGGTTATGGTTGATGCTGTTGCGGTGGTAGATTCGCAGATACAGAGATCAGACAGCGAAGCTACCTTTCCACTATCTCTGATATGGATCTCTAATCTAGATCAAAAGGCAATAGCAGATATAAAGAAAGCTGCTAGTTCTAGTTTCGATGATAACTTATCTCTAATGCTCTTTCGGGTAGGCATTTTACTCAATTAATTTAACTTCCCTTCTCGGTCTTACTACCTTCCCTTCTCGTCTATAATTCCAACCAATCTTATCTAGACTTATACCGCGCGCAAAATAGGCATGATTTACTAAAGATAACGGATTCCTTATTACTCTAGAAAAGTCGAAAACAAGTACACAAACACACACACAAAAAAAGAGAAAAAAAAAGCAAGTAAGCAAGCAAACCCAACAACCAAGGCAAAATATAAAAAAGGGGGTCAAGTCATGAATGAAAGCAGCACATGAATTGCGTAAGCAAGCAAAAAATGGAAATATATAAAATAAAATGAAATGGAATGGAGAAAAAAAGTGGAAAGACAAATGTGAATGGGATGTTGAACGTTGGATGGTGGAGATGAGACGGTGGATAGGTAGATAGTGTACATGATCATAACGATACGCGATAACGACAAAGGCGGGAGGGAGACAAACAAAGGAGATTTTGAGAAATGTTGATCGACACGTATAAGCTGAGGAGAAACACAACACGGACCAAAAAAGACACAAACACAAACACAGACAAGAAAAGAAAAGAAAAGAAAAGAAAAGAGCTAGATGGACGGGGCGAGAATTCGACGAATGAGGATGGGAGAAGTAGGTGGCATCAGATAGCTCGGCATGGAATGTGAGGAGATACAAATGGAAGCAATTGAGAAAAGAACCATAAAAAGTGGAAAGAAGAAAAACACCCATGAAACCAGGAAAGATGTGCGATGAAGGATGGATAAGCATTAGGAGAAATTGAAAAGAAGAAATAAGAAAACGGGACGCCAAGACGATTTTCGTGATTCAACGAGCAAGAGAAGAGGGGGTTATGCAAGGATAGAGACAGACTAGTTCACTCGGTAGAGCATGGACTGCTGCATCGGAGGTGGGGCGTATGATTGCGATTGCTGCTGCTGTGACGACTGCTGGTGCTGCAGCAGCGCGTGCTCGCCCGTCGAACTATGATGAATCGGCATATCTTCTCTCTTGACCGTGTACTCGTTCTCCTTCGACATATCCGGCGAGTGCGCCTGCGACCCCGGCGTGTTTGGTCTACTCGACGAGATCGACGAGTTTTCATGTACGCTCAAGCGCGGCGAGATCATCGCCTGCTGCTGCGGCTTTTTCTGCGACTGCTGGTGCTGCATGTGCTGGTAGCTCTGCGACGGGTGCATCAGCTGCGGTTGCTGGATCAGCGGCGGACGCGCGGACTCGAACCTCCGGCGCTCGACCGCGGCAACGACCTGCGCGGTGCGCGCGTAGTTAGCAGGGTGGTACAGGAATGTTTTGATGTCGGCGACAAAGAGCGGGTATAAGAGATCGACGATCTTCTCTTTGTTTGCAAAGTCGAGCGCGCGGTCGTAGGGGATCCAGACGCCCTTGAGGTGCATCGCACCCACCTTGACGACGTGCCGCTGCTTCTCACTCTTGAGGATACCGTCGCGGCGGCCGCGGGTCATGCCCGCGACATTGAGCAGCTTCGTGCCGTTGACCATGTCGTTATCTTCGCGGCGCGCGACACAGACGCCTTTCGCCTCGACCTGGAAACAGAGCGTGCCTTCGTCTTCCCACAGCGTTGTCGTCACGCGCGGCTTCATGCCCGGCGGCGGAAATTGGCCGGTCGGGTCGTGGGGAGCGAGCGAGGGCGAGGGCTGCATGTGCTGCGCCGAGTAGTGGTATTGCATCACCGACTGCTGTGGGTGCGGGACGTAGTAGGCGTGCTGGGCGGGCATGGCGACAGCGGTCGGGTGGTAGACGTGGCCGCCGGGAGGGGTGGGGAACGGTTGCATTAGAGCGTACTGCTGCTGCAGTTGCTGCTGTTGTTGTTGCTGCTGCTGTTGTTGTTGTTGCTGCTGCTGTTGTTGCTGCTGCTGCTGTTGCGATTGTTGCTGCTGCATTGGCTGCTGGGAGAGGAGCTGCGGCCCGCCGGGCGGTGTGGGCAGTTGTTGGCTGTAGTCGGAGAACTTTGCGGATGAGGAGAGCGCGTAGGCGGAGTGCGAGCTGGAGAGGTAGCCGTCGGCAGCGGAGGGCGCGCTGGGGGCGGGCGCCGGGGCGGGGAAGTAGTGCTGCTGTGGAGGAATGTGGTAGGGCTGGGTGACGGGGGAGGAGTAGAGCGGCGGCGTCGGCATGAGGGAGGCGGAGGAGGGGATGGCGGAGGGGATCGAGGAGGGTATTGCGTTCGGGGGCAGGCCGATTGAGGAGGAGAGTTGGTCGGACATGGGGGAGGAGGGGGGGAGGAGAGAGGAGGAGAGAGAAGGTACTGGTAGGCGTCAGCGGGGAGAGGAGGGGGAGCAGATGAGGAGGAAGGAATAGGGGGGAGGTACCGGGAGGAGAGCAGACGGGGAAAAGGAGAGAGGAAGAGAGGAGGGACGAGGGCAGATGAAGAAGAAGAGGCGGACGAGCAGAGACTAAACCCGCGACTGCGACGACGACGACAACCACGACGACCGCGACGACAGCCAGAACCGCGACGACAGAAACCAAACGACAAAGGCTTTGCGACGACCACCGACCGACCGAGACGAGGACGAGCAGGCGAGGCGAGCACCAGCGCGCGACTCAGAGGCTCGGTGCGCCGGATACTAAAAACAAGGTTCGAAAGAGTCGAGCGATGGTACCAAAAACGCCTGTCGCCCGCCATGCAGGTCTCCTGCAGCCCGCTGTTCGCGCGCACCGCCGCTGCTGTCGGGTTTTCTAGCGATATGCATTAGCCCGCGCTAGCTGGATTGGGCTGTGGCGGTGCGTACAGTGGGTCGCTTTGCTATCTGTGTATTCGTTTGCTTTAGTTGTTGTTTTGTGTTTTGCGTTTTATTGTTGCTTTATTGCGGTTTTATTTTGTTGTTGTTATATTGATGTTGGTTTGCTGAATCAAATCATAAGGAGTGAAGTAACTAATCATCTCTCCGGTCTTCAACCTCTCCTCGCCAAGCTCTATCGCACTATATAAACAACCACTCATGCTGCACCCTCCTCTCTCTACCTACACCTCCGCCGTACGTTCGTCTCAACCTAAAATTGAACTAACGAGCAGCAGCAGAAAGGACCCTGCATTTTTCTCCTGCTCGAGTTATCACCTTCCCCTCTTCACTCCCCGTGTCGACCGCGTCGTGACCTGTTCGCTGTTCACACCCTTTCACGACCGATGGAGATAGAGTGCAGAGAATATCGAGATCAGGAGGCACTGTGACTGCGTTCTAACGTACGCTGGCGGTCAGCATGTGTGCTTCAATGCGCTTCGTCCATTCTGCGTCTGCGTCTGCGTTCGTTGCTCATTCGTCCGGCTAAGATCCTTTTTTTTCTCTCTTCTTGTTCTTTCTCTTCTGGTTTCACTTATTCTCATAGTCTGTCTGTATTCTGTCTGTTGTCGGTGGTCGTGGTTAATTCGAAGATCCAGCATGTCACTCTTCCCACTATCACTCGTTGATCCCAATGTCATCATGACACAACCATCCTCAGTTCCTCATCACGTCCTCAATCGTTAAGCTTTTCCACCCTAGAATTCCCCCCGTAGAAATGCAATGGCCAGTGCCAGAACGTACACCCAGCTCCGGCTGAACAGCAGCACCAGCCCGAAGAATGGAACAAGCCGCAGCCTGTTCTCAGCACACTTGATATCGCTGACGTCTCGCGTATTAGCTTCATCCGTTCGTGCCTCTGCTTCTACAGCTGTATATGTGCCTATGCTGTTTGCTCTGGCTGCATGCAGCATGCCACCTACAGCACACGTGCATCACCCATTATCTCGTCTAATGTTCTAACGGTCGGTGCAGTGTAGTGCGCAGTGATGAGCTAAAGTCTGGTTGTTCTCTGTGTTCTACAGCAGAGCAGTTGGATATTGTAAACGGTGTAGAGAGCTGTACGCGACAGATCAGACACATATATCTGGATCACCGATCTCTCCGCATCTTGCAGTCCATCCACAAGCACAGACTGGCCAGTAATTACGTATGAGCAGCTCCAATCGTACTTCTCCTTCTTTCTCGAGCAAATCGCATTCTGACAAGTTAAACGACGGCAACAGCAACCCAAGCAGAGTCTACCGAGTGCTACTCCTCGTTACTTTTTCCTCCTCTCTGACGTGCAAAATGCTAATCACCACGCCGGAATATTAATCAGGAGCGCGGCAGCAGTGGCAGCAGCATGAGTACTTCAGATGGCAGCAGCAACAAACCGAGGCGGCCTAGAGGCTGTCGTTGCTGGGCGTCGATTAAGGTTTTTAGCGACTGATGGCTTGGTTGCGACGTTTCCGTTGTCGTGTGGATTTCCGACTTTGTTTGGTGCTGGTGCTGTTGATGTTGTTGATGTAGTTTGATGATAGGAGTATGAAGGGTTGAACAGAAGATTGAGTGTGTGCGGGCTGCTGGGTTTGGAGTACAGTGAAGAGCAAGGACGGGAGGTTCAGCAGAGCGGAATGCAGTAAAGATATTAGCACATCACTGCTCGACCACCTCCCGACAGCCTGCTACAACCATCCAACAGATCAACCATACAAACTCCAATATTAACAAATTGCGATATCAAACACTACACAGCAAACGACTACCGATATCGCGCGGACGTAATGCGATTGCACCTCTACCTCGCTTTTCTCGAGTCGAGCCACAGAGCGTCGTCATATACGGATTTGCCGACCTGATCCGTTTGGGAAATTAATTGCTAGCGGAACTAAACTCGCGACCGAGTCCTGGTCTCCCTTCCTACCATGAGTGTCTTAATACCTGACTGAGGAATAAAACACCAGGAGCGAGAACTGAAAAGACGAGATAGATCAATATAACCGGCGAATAAATGGACGATTGGGACAATATAATGGAGAGAGGACTGGAAGATAAACTCAAAATCAACAACTTTACCGCAAACTTTGTTGGTTTAACTCTGGATTAGCTCTGCCGGTAGCCGGGCCACGCGGCGTTTGAACAGAGGCCGAGGTACCTTGCGAGGCTGTTTATTAGAATGCCAATAGGAAGAAAGGAACAGCGAAGCAGAACAGCAGAGAGATGATTGTGTTTGGCACATCATAAATAGCTTGGTTCAGTGCAGAGCAATAAGTGGAGAAACAAGACAGAAGACAGAGTTTAGGGAGCGGACCTGAGCGGGCGGACACGAGGATTTCGGCTAGTGTGGCTGGCCGGTCTGCAGTTGAGTTTGCCTTCGGACGCGGAAGAGGTTTGACAGAGCAGCGCATTCCCCCACTTGTGTCTGCGTGTGCGGGTGCGGATGGGGATGTGAAATGCCTGGAGTTAAATCTGACGTCACGGTTATCAAGCAGGCAGTCTGATATAGTGCATAGGCAAGCGAGATATAGTATTTGTTTGTCTTCGCCGGCTGCTATCTACTCCTTCTACAGCATTCTCGCAGAGTCCTCCAGCGGCAAGCTCCGCTGCGTTAAGACCGGGGCGAGTGGGGGCAGCCGTACTAAAGCCCATTCAGGCTGGGCCGAAGCGAGAAAGAGATACTCACTCGGGCTGAGCTCTCGGTCGAAACAGCCAGGATATGTTTAATATCCCAAAGCTAAAGCGCGGCGAGAGAGGCAGGAAAGAGTTGGACTGAGCGCAGAGAGCGCAGAACAGGTGAACAGAACAGTGAACAGAGCAGGTGTGCGTGCCGACCGGCAGAGCCAGAAGCAGCAAGCCGATAGGTAAAAAAGTAAGGAGCCTGGAGAGCGAGGAGCTAACCGATCATATTCTGGGCTTAAACCTGTCTTTACGGCCTTGACTGACCTGGCACTGCGGATTTGAGTTGGGCAGCCTTTTTCTCTCTATCTCGCGGCCGGCGGGGCGGAATAGTGGTATTCCTTCGTCGTCATCGTCGGCTATACACCAGTGCTGAATGTAGAAGGCTATCGAAGTCGACTCGACCTGGCCAGGAACAGGGTTATCGTTCACTATAGCACACGAAGTGGAGGCGATAACCAAACTTACTGGAGTGTCACGAAGATGACTAATTAAGGTTTATCTTCTGGTTCGACCTCGCGAACATTACCGACTTCTATCGCCCGACAGCCAGACGGCCCCACAAGGCCTCGGCCGGATAGATAGGAAGTTGGAAGTAGCTACAAATTATACGATGCCAGGATCAGACCATTCGCCGGATCTGGCAATCCTTCAGAGTAGGAGCAGGGGAAAGAGATAAGAAGTAGATATAAAAGGAAGCCGGAGTAGCCAGCTTCCTTGAACCCATCTTTAACCTAATCAACCTATTACGCTTCCACTGCAAACCTTATTCAACTATCGCTCAATGTCTTCCACCAACAACCCCAGCCCTCTCGACCAAGCTACTTCGTCACAGGAGTGGTTGAAAAGAGAAAAGAGGAACGAGGACGGAGAAAAGTAAGAGGAAAAAGTAAGGAATCCTGCTGCAGCCTTCTCGGCTGGATCCGGGTTTTCTCTTTATTTCTTATTTGTCTACGAACTTGTGTATTCCCCGTTATTCTCTTTCCTTTTTCCTTTTTCCTGCGCCTGTCTGCTTGTAGCAAGAAAAGCGTTAGAGAGCGGGCAGTGAGGAAGAGCGGCAAGAGAGCGGTGCGCCACAATCGTAAACGCGAATCCAAAAACGGATCTCGGCTCGAGCCGACCACCTGGCACCCCTGAAAACGGGCGGCGGCGGCGGCGGCGGCAGGCAGCAAAGTTGACTTGAGCGGAGCTGTGTACTTCTGGTGGCCGCGCGCGTTAGTTGGGCGTTTGGGTACGAGAATACTTTTACAGACTTGGCGGTGTTGTGTTCGTGTGTGTGTGTGTGTGTGTGTGTGTCTGCTTCAAATCTTGGTCACATTGCACACAGCAACACAGATAGAAGAACTGCTGATGTCATGGTGAGGTCATAGGCCGCTGCGACCGCGACTAGAGGAAAAGATGGAAAAGGCTGCGATAGGAAAAGGTGCAGGAAAACAGCAAACTCTATTTCCAACTGTGGTTCGCTAAACTGTCAAACCCACTCTCGAGGCAGCCGTATTATTATTGTTGTCGGTGGGACGCTTTGCGGACGAAGACTTGTGTGGAGACGACTGAGAGAAGTTGAGTGGTTGTAGCTCGGAGACCGGGATTGGCGGACATTTACTCTTTCTCGCCGTCGTCGTCGTAGTCTCAGCAGACGTAGCAGCACCGGCTGGTCAAAGCAGCAACATTCCTCCTCCACTTTGCTTCTGTCCTCTTTCTTTCTTTCTTTCTTTCTTTCTTCTTTTACTCTGTTTACTTGGACATTGTCTGTCGCTATCACTCTCGGCTATGACCAGAGTGTATTTCCCACCAGCAGCGCAGTGAACGAGTGTGGATGGGACCTGTGTATTCTGCGTAGTCTCCCAGCCGCAGCTTGCTTCCCCAATCGAGTACTCGTTCCTTGCCGCAGTCCTCCCGCCCACGCAGCCCATATCCTCTCCAAGCAGTCTTCAACCACCACCTCCCACTTCAAGCAGCTCCTTTCGACTAAAATAGAATCTACTCTCTCATAATAACTTGTCCCCCCTATCATCAGCCGCAATCCTCCACTACCCAAGCCAGGCTACCTGACTGAGGCTGAGTCCAGAATTATCCGGGTACGAGCCTGTGGCGCATCACCTGCTCTCCATTCCTCGCTCTTCCGCGCTCAGAGTCGACACGCTCAGCAGTAAAGTACAGTAGTCCG